TGTTGTGGGAATATTAAGTAGCGATACTTATTATGGTAACAATTCATGAACAGATAGAACATACAAGTATGTTCTATAGCAACTGTTCTAAAAGGATCACGTGGTCACTAATTATCACGTGACATGTATATTATAATATCGGAAAAACTATTAGAAGATATTTTTCCGATAACGCGCGATGCGCTTCAAGAAAACTTTTCCTGCGATGAGATGCCCATTGTACATTACTTCATTTATTAAAGAGATACTATCTCCTCGAGATATATCTGGGTATCTATCTATATATTTATAGGATTAGCTTGTATACTACTTTATGTAATAGATCAACGAATAGAAATTATACAAGCAATCTTTATAGAAATGACAATCGTTCCCAATTCTAATTCTATTAGGATCTACTCTCTTGCCAATCTACGTCAACATACATTGGGTCTATTGGAGCTACATTGTCCAACATTACTCTGTACAAAGATGAGAAGTTTAACAACAGCAACTCTGTTAACATAAATGTTGTTAATGGGAAACATAGAATAATATTACCCGGATATTATATTTTAGTAATATAATTAAATATTAAATAAATTTTCAAAAATTTTGAGGCAACTTGGCCGAGTGGTTAAGGCGAAAGATTAGAAATCTTTTGGGCTCTGCCCGCGCAGGTTCAAATCCTGCAGTTGTCGTTATTTTTTTGGAGGTATTCTCAAGGGTTTTTTTGGCATTGACAGTGAAAATATACACAACAACGATGTTTGAGTGCGTTTTTGCCTTCTTTATGGGTCATATTTTTAATTAGAATACTATAAGTTTATAAATATACTGACTATCTTTGATATATTCATGTGTTAATGTAAATCTTAATTATGGAAATATATATATATATACGGTTCATTATTGTTTTATGTAGAAAATGTAATTAAACTACAGAATTTATTAAGACTAATTTTTAAAAAGCATTGATCTTTCAATACTTGATCAACAATAACTAGAAAAGTACATTGTATATATATTTATATAATATTGGTGATATTTCTTTACACCCTATCGGTTGCCCCATTGTTGGCGATAAAGAATACTTTAAAATGTCACTAATATAATAAAATTATTATATATACCACACATATTGAAGCACATTAAATATAAAATTGCATACAAATATTAGTTATTTTCTTAAAACCCATATAAAAAAAATTAACTGCAGGTCGAGTTAGAAGTTTTACTACCACTGGTTGGACCTGCAGTTGTAACATCAATTCATTTGTTCCTTAAATATAGGTCTTGGTGGGAGAGATGCTATACCAACCATAAATTTTTGAGAATAAAACCATTAATACCCACTTCATTGACCGCCTATCATAGAGTAGCTATCTTAAACGTCAGAAAATCAACCAAATAAAGTCTTTATCGAAGTCATGGATATATGCCGTATCTGGCCTTTGTATAGCCTACAACGAAATGATGATGATTATAGGCGACATTTTGGGAATAAATATTACATTATCAGGTACTATCAACCCTCTATTATATGGGATATATAAATATATAAAGATTTACGATCTACAGTTCGTTAGTAGAAATACTAGGTGAACATATCAAAAATAAGAATAAAGGAACAAATATTGATGAACATATCGTACACACTCTCCATACCCCTTTCATATAATTAACAGCACTCAATTAATACATTTAGGAGATACATCGTTACATTTTCGAATTTCCTTCGAAAATAATGGAAGGGATAAAAACCAATTTCATACTATTAAATAAAGTTGCTAAAAATGATGAAATTGATAAAACACGCTCAACTGACCTGTATATTCAGAGATTATAGCAAAATAATCGGTCAAAAATTAAGAGTCTTCATTACTCATTAAAAAAAATGAAGTAAAATCTAGAGAAGAATAGAATAAAAAGCTTGGACACGTAATGTTATCAGGAGGGAACATTTGTGACGCTAGTATTTTGTATTGATACCGACATAGGGTGGTTTTAGTTTGACCCCGATAGGTTGATTAAATAACTGAGAAACATTATAAAAGAAAATCATTATTAAAAGGCTTATAATCAAATTATTGACTCCTTCCTAAAGAAATCTAGTATTTAGTCCTTCGTTAGTATACAATTTAGGTGTGTGTATTAGTTGATAATCGAGGTTGGGGAGCTTCGGATACAAGATAATATAATTCATTCGTTAAAAGTTCGGGTAAATAAAATATTCCACCATTTCCAACAATGAACTTTTATAAACTCTACGAAATATCCTTGGAAATAGTATATACTTAAGAAATTCCTGTTATCACTTTCAAATTATTGTTTACAGAAAAAGTTAAATTTAACTTTTAGTACTCCACAACTAATTTAATAATTTTAGAAAACATTATAATTTCCCTCTCTAAAATAAATAAAATTTATTTCAAAGAATAACATGTGGACCACATGTATTAACAACCCTACGTTTTCTATCAAATTTAAATTCTAATTTATCGAAAATATCTAATATACAGGGAACAAACAACTTTCATATATACATTAAAAAAAATAATTAAAATGAAACATTGCAGAATTCCTTTATCTTTCATCATTTCAAATCTGATTTTAATTTAACACTTTTTCCTTGTCAAGAAGAAATTTATTTTCAAGAACGGCTCATCGATTATCTATTAATACCTTAAAAGAGATCATTTTGCTTTATAAATTTAAACTAAACTGATGCACATTACAAACGTTATGTACCGTATTCATCTTTTTTTGCTTCTTCTCTTCAAATTATTTGTTAAATATTACATCGCTAAAAATGTAAACAAAATCCCGAACAGATTTTTTCATATTTTTTTTAACCACCTGACGGACAAATATCCCGATCAGGCAGCGCGGAAGTTAGGCTTGACTAATAATATTATGCAATTAGCTAGAGTTTATAATTAGTTGCAAAAGCAATGTTCAGTATAATAAAATACATTTCCTATGTCTCAAAGTTACTTGAGTTATAGATCTAAATATAAGTAGATCAATAAATCAATAAATATTAAGTAATGATAATATATTCAATTATTATATATAAGTCTCTTATATGAACGTCGGCAAGCGAAACTTTTCACTTGCGTTTTTAGGTTTCCCAGAATATACCGACTTCTCAAATGTTAATACATCATCGTTTAGATTGACTCACCTGCATTAATTTAGAAAAATAGATTCTTGTTATACTTTAATATTTCTCTATTTGGTATACAATTTCGGTATGTTCCCTATTTTTGTTCACTTCTAAATTCAACCATTTAATCTATTTTCTCCAATTAGATTTAATTATCTAAAGTTCAAGTAACTATGGTTCCTGTCGATACTATCCAAAGCAGAAGATAAACAGGTTATTTTCTCCTTAATAACTTTGGCACACTCATTTCATCTTCTATTTTGGGATGTACCGACATTATTTCCGAAGTTGAATTTATCGAATTAGTTTCGAAAGGAATTAATAAAAGTTTTTCTGTGGCATCGAACATAGCAATATCCTATAGAGATGTTATGTGGTTATCAAATATTTTGGTTTCATATATGTGTTCTCCTATGATATTAGTGTCTATACGAACAACTGCAAACTATGTTAAGTCGACCATTTTGTTTAGTGCGGATATATAAAGTAACCATGAGATTCAGGTGAATGGGTCATAACATAATTTTGTTCGCCCTTGTAATGGATTTTAGTAGGGGCCTTAATGTTAACTATGACTGATTGCCCAAATGCCTCGATAGTGGAGACATCAAGTCCACAGAGATCCGGATCATTGCACATACAAAATAATAATTCTCTCAGTAATTATGACTGACAATTCGCATTTTATAAATATGTTTACTTTAATTACGTAACTAATATGAAAATACCAAGTTTTAGTCACGTAGTGTCATATTTACCAAGAATAAAATACTCTCCCCTCTCTCCGCCTCACTTCTCTTCTAAAAATTATCACATCTGATAATGAACTACGATAGAAGGGGTTATCACTGTTCCGATAGAGCAAGTCAGTAATGTAAGTTTCCTTGTAAACTACATTTGTTGTATAATCTAATAAACTAAACGTTGCGTAATTTTAGTAGTCTTAATCATTATATAACGTAGATTCTTCAGGTGATGTATGGGTGTTATTTCTACTACCCTGAAAATTTTCTAAAAATCTCAGAAAGGGAAGCGATGAGATGAGTTCCAACTAACATAAGCAAACATGATTGAAAAAAACACATTAGTGTAACAATAGTGATTAAAATTCATCTTAAAACGTATAAGATAAGGTGCATATCTCAAATAGCAAGTAGATATAACATACAATAACAGCAAAATGTCGAACCCTGACGATCTAGATGATGGACTAATATACGACTACAGTTCGAGCGGAGAACAAGCAGAAGAAGATGACAGTACAGTTATATTACCACAAGATGAACCAATGGAGAAAAATAATAATACTGAAAAGAAAAGAACTGCTGTAGACGTTAAGGACGAAAGTTCTATGTCAAAAAGACAAAAAAAATTAGCCAAAAGATCTAAATTTACAGAGAAAAAAAAAGAATTACGTGAATATGAAATTAGTAAGAAACAAAACCTTCCTAAATCTACACCTGAAGAAATATCAGAATATTTCACAACCTTAATTGGTGCAAAAAACCCTGATCTAAGTGCTTTGGAACTAGAAGAAAAATATTTAAAAAAGACTGACTTTCTTTCTACTGCAAGATATACAAATGAAAGAACATTAGAGAATTTCCCAGATTTTATAAAACAATTTTCCAAGGCACCAAAGACAATTGTTTTCTCATTAACTAATCTGCGTGTGGCCGATGTCTTTAGAACTTTAAATACAGAAAGACAATGCGTCAAGTTATTTGCTAAGAACAAATTAAAGGACGATCAAAAAACGATTGATATGGTATTTGACAGTAAAAATAAGAAATTTTCAAATATCAGATATTTTGTTTGTACTGCCACAAGATTAAATAAAATTATTGAATCTAGTGATGCATTTTTCCAAGGTAAAGATAAATTAGATATCATCCTTGACGCTAGTTTCCTAGACCCTAAAGAAAACACACTGTTGACAGCAGATGATGCGATTGTGTTAGCTAGTACATTAAGAACTTTATTGGATAAGAAAAGTTCTGTTAAAATCCTCTTATATTAGAGCCTTGCATTTTTAAGAAACAAAAGAATTAAATAAATATAATACCAAACATATTGTATACAAATAGGTAAAATACATGACCTATAATTTAACCAAATAACAACGACAAATCATATAGAAAACATTAGTTATTGAATAAAAAACTACAACCTTTTAATCAATATTCTATAAAATGATTAGCCTAAATAATTAAATTACTTTTGCATTCACAAATATATACTTATATATAACGCCTAATATAAAGTCCAATAAACAAGTTGAAATTGGGCAGTCTCAATTAAACGTATAGAATATGTCAAGGAACTATATAATGCAATGTTAGTTCCATCGTTACTTATTCCCGAACCCTCAATTGTTATTCGATCAATGAATTGGGAATGAGTTTTGCAAGTACATTCCAGGAGTAAAGTAAGTCGTTTAGAGTCATAACAAAACAGTGACATCAACATTTTAAGAAAGTCCAGCATCGATTGTCTCTTTTTTCCGTAATAGGCGTACGGTTGTATGCCGAGATGTAAATATGCACTGTCAATGGCAGCACCAACAACAACAAAAAAAAAAGGAAAGGGAAGGGAGAGGAATGTCATCCTCGAAAGGAACATAATACTATTCTTAAATAGGTCTTTGTCAACCTTTCTTTTATAAGCTTACATACTTATTTCTTTAAATAAACACAATAATATCTTATTTTATATTGCATTTGGGCACCAAAACAATTAATCAAGCTAAATTGGGTCATTAACGCCTTCAAAAAATTTCAAGATTTGAAACTCATCGAAGGGGAGGACAGACCAGCAAATGGGTAGATAGTTAACGAAATATGTCACCAAATAGAAACACTACAGAAAAAATGAGTATAAAAAGCAAGGATAATAAAAATGCAAAAAATAAGGAGGAGATGCTTAGTTCAGAAGAAACTCAAATGTCAAATTTGATGAGTGCTAACAAAGAGAAGAAACAGGTGAGTGCTAACAAAGACATAGCCCCAAGTCAGATAGTTATACCAGACGCTTCCTATGTCGGTTGGCAACAGATCAGTGGCTGGGAAGAAAATGATGCTTTAACTCCTGAAGATGAATTATTAGATTTAAATACAGAAACTATCCTAGATAATGTTATACCAGATAAATTTTATGGCGATTGGTATCATTTCGTAGGGATATTTGGTCTTGGAGGGAGTTTGTCCTTTTTTTTTGGTTATTTTAAATTTTCATTAGCTCCAGTCTTTATTATTATGGCATTATTGGGATTATATGCCAGAACAAACTCAAAAAAGTATAGACAGTCAATCAGAGATTTGATAGAGAAAGAATTTGCCGTTGATAAAATTGAGAATGACTACGAAACTTTAGAATGGTTAAATACATTTTTGGACACATACTGGCCTATAATCGAACCAACTGTATCACATGATATTGTTAGAGAAGTTAATAAGATACTATCTGATAATCCTGCTATTCCATCCTTCATTAAGAATTTATGGATTGACACATTCTCTTTGGGTGTTAAACCACCTCGTATTGAAAAGGTGAAAACGTTTTCAAACACATCCCCAGATGTAGCCATTATGGATTGGACTGTATCATTTACTCCTCATGACTTATCAGATATGGATATTAAGAAGCTTAAGAATTACGTTAATCAAGTGGTTATAGTTAAGGCAAAATTATTAGGCATAAAATTAGAGGTTGCAATTTCTGAGATTTCTTTCAAAGTAGATATTAGATTAAAATTTCAATTAATGCCCGACTTCCCACATATCGAAACCGTGAATATTCAATTATTAACAGTGCCCGAGATTGATTTTGTTGCTCGTTTATTTACAGACAGCATTTTTAGTTGGGAGTTACTTGCTATACCAGGTCTTTACACAATGGTTCAATTCCTAGCCAAAAAATACATGGGTCCAATTCTTTTACCACCCTTTTCACTACAATTGAACATTCCACAATTATTGAGTAAATCAAACTTATCGGTCGGTGTTTTAGAGATTGATGTTAAAAAAGCTACGAAATTAAGGCTACCTTCTTCAATGTTCTCTAGTAAGAATTTATATATTCAATTTAAAGTTAGTCACCAGAAATTAGCTAGAACAAAAGTGGCTACTGATTCTCAACATCCAGAATGGAACGAAAAGTTGTATATACTGCTTCCTTCATTTAATGAGCCACTTAATGTTTCCATTGTAAATGAACGTAAAAATATTAAGGATAAGTCTCTAGCATCATTTGATTTTGATTTAAACAAATTGAGCCATGATAATATACAGAAAAATCTGTCTCAAAAGTTTTTGAACAATTTAAAACCAGCTGGTGTCCTAGATTTCAATGCTAAATTCTATCCAGCAATCGAAAGAAAAACTTTGCCTGATGGTAGTGTCGAAGAATTGCCTGACTTGAATACAGGGTTGGCCAAGATTTGTATTAAAGCTTGCAGGGGTATTAATGATGACATAACTAAAAAAGTATCTGCCTATGCAGAATTGTACATTAATACAAAGTTAGAATTAACAACTTCTAAATGTACAAAGACGAATGTGCTCGAATGGAATGCGGAACACGAATTACTGGTTATGAACCGCCATACATCACGTTGCAAGATCATACTGAAAGACAGAAAAGGAAAAGAAATAGGATCAACTGTCCAATCTTTGAACGACCTAATTGATAGGCAGAACATTGAAAAAACCTGGATTCCATTGAAGGGTACTAAAATTGAAATTTGTGTATCAACCTTTTGGAAACCCGTTCAATTTGATGAGGAATCCAGTGCACTGATTTACAATGCACCAATTGGTACAGTTAGAATGTTTGTGAATAAAGCCACTTTTGTTGGCCAGCCAACGTCTAAAAATCCCTACATTAGGGTACTTGTTAATAATATCACAAAGGATAGAACCAGTGACGCTACCGATATAAAAAACTGCTCTTGGAACGAATCAATGTATGTTACTGTTTCGTCTCCAAATCAAAAAATTTCATTAGAATGTATGGAGGTGACAGATACTGGACATCACAGATCTGTTGGTAAATTTGATGTTCCTATTCAAGACATGTTCGATAAGGACGATTCGGATAGATATATTGAGAAGATCGAGGATAAAAAAAAAGTTGGAAAGCTTGTAAAAGCTAACGAGACTGTGGCGGAGTTGTCATATTATATATCATTTTATCCAACGTTACCAGTTTTGACAATTGATGAATTAAATGAACTAGACATTTTAAATGAAAGAAAGAAGAAACTAGAGGTTCTAAAATTAAAGAGTCTAGAGACTGGAGAATCAACTATAGATGAGAAAAAGCACATTGAAACTGAAGAATTAGAGATCAAGGATAGTGAGGATATGTATAGTAATAAAATGAAGTTAGATATTGACGAACTTTTACAATATAACTCTGGTGTTATAGCTATAACGGTACTGGACGGTGAAGTTTCACAACCAGGGTTATATGTTCAAACATATTTTGACGCTTCAGGACATTCCAGATATACCTCACCAAGGATTGCAATCAGAACCATACAAACTGGTTGGATCATGGATGCAATGATCAGTGAATTAGAATGGTCTGTTACGACATTCAGGGTTACTAAGTGGAGAAATTCTAATAAGGCAGATGACTGTATATGTGAACTTGCAATCCCTACGATTGAACTAGTGAAAAATTGTTATAAACAACCATCAATTGTGGCCTTAACAGGTAAATCTACTGCCAAACTTACTGTAAGAGTTTCATGGTTTCCAACAAATCCTACAAAATTGCCATTATCTGACCTAATTATAAATAGCGGTGATATGTCAATTACAGTTTCTTCAGCTGAAGATTTGGATGCAGGAGATAGTAACGGCCGTTCTGATCCTTATGTTAAACTTTACTTAAACAATGCTAAAGAACCATTCTTAGAAACTAGACACAAGAAGAGAACGAGATCTCCTACGTGGGACGAAACAGCTAATGTTGTAGTAAATAACAGAGTAAACGATCACCTCCATATTGATGTTTTAGACTTTGAAAGTTCAAATAAAAGTAAAATTCTGGGACAAGCTGTTGTGTCATTATCCGAAGTTGACCCAGATGAACCAACGACACTAGACATCCCGTTAGTAACTCCTTCTGGTAATGACTGTGGGGTTATCCATTTGGATTTTTCATTTTCTCCACGTTATACATTGAATGTTACTAAACAAACTATTAGAAATAATAACGGAGAAATTCCAGGTCTCGATTTTATCCCTGGTATCAAAGTGGGTACTACTGCTGTCAATGCAGGTGTGAGTACCCTAGGTGTCATCAGTAAGAGCTTTGGTGGTGGTAAGATGACATCTAGTAGAAGGACAAAAAAAATAGAAGAGGCAGATTAAAATAGATACTTTTAATCAAAGATATAATATTTTCCCTTTATCGTTTTATTAGACTTTTGGTATATACAAACATATATATACTTTTTATATTGCGCCATGGGAAGTGAAAAAAAATAAATAGTGTAACAATAATGTAAAGAAAAGGGATTTTAAGAACTCGTACAAATACTCTATAAAGAAGATACTTTGAGGATAAGTAAATAATCAACGGGGAGTAATATATCGATTAAATAAACAAAAGTTCCAATGCCTGATATCAAAGAGGGTGTCCACCAAGTAGAATTGAGTGTATTCACTTTGTTATCGGCTGATCTAGATGGCATTAATAGATCAGTTACCGAATTAAGAGAATCACAGACAATACTGATATTAAAACTAAGGAAAATTCGGGAATATCTTAAGAAGGAATATGAATTACTGTATGAAGCTGATGATCTTAACGAGGCGAATATAAAACTTACTAATTTAAAGAAAAGAATAGTATCACTTGATCAAAGATTCAAAACAATTCTACAAAAAACAAATTCCCTAGATTAGCTCTATGATTTCATTCAAGAATAATAAGAAAAAGACATTCTAATTATTCAAGAGAGCCACTAACGGGATTACTAACTTTTCTATATGATATAAGACTCTTCACAGTATTATATAATAATGCAAGCAAAAACGACACATATATACCATTTCAAGGATAATATGACAATACAAAACGTTAATTGACCCTTAGGTAATCATGGCGCTTGAAGAAAACAAATGTTGTGACAATGTATAATGAGGTAGATCATAATAATAACTTATTATAAAGTGGCTCTGTCCTTTTACGTCGGGGTTGGATATTTAATGTTCATTTATTAAATAATTATGTGTAGTATACAGATTTATGAGTAAGCGTTAAAAAAAAAGTCATTTAACATATTACATGGAATAATACATACATTCATTTATTCTCACCTATTATTAACTTTTATTCTCTTGAATTGTAATAACTTTATAATAGTAAAACGGTATTAAGTTCACAAATATGACATTATTAATTACATCTATTTCATTGATTGAATCTCTTGTTCTAAAGAGCCCAATTCTTTCTTTCTATCACTTAAAACATTCTGTAAAATAGAAACTTGTTGCTCGATATTTTCCAAATCATTTGTAATCGACCTCAAATTCACGGAGTTTGTAATGCCATTAGAAGGGTTCTTACTAGCAATGGCTTGCTTTTTTCTATAGCTCAATAAACCCTCGAATTGTTGCCTTAATAATCTAGCCTTTTCTGGTGTAACGTTTTCTATATCTAGGGAAGTAGTGGTTTGTACGTTTGAGCTTATTTGCTGTTGTTGGGATGACGACGTCGAAGAAGGTTGAGCTGTCCCCGGAACATTGTTTACTAGTACTTTATCGGTATTGGTAGATGAAACTGAAGGTTCTGTAATTCTCTTGACATCTGCCTGACTAGATTTCAAATCATATTGAATTTCTTGTTTGTTTACGATTTCGGCTAACGCTCTTGGTAGATCGGTTGGAATTTCTGAACCTACATCGTTACATTGTCTTAAAATATGGATGAAATATAATGCAGGGTCTTTATCTATTGAGGCCAAATTCTTAGGGTTAACAAGTTTCCAAGTCTTGTCATAATCACTAGAGCCTATATTAAAAAATTTAGATTTCAATACTAATGTCAGGGAAGGGAATGTAACAGTTCCATCAGTAGATCTGTTACATGACTCTAATATACTATTATATTCCTTCATGTCTTCTGGAGACATATACCAATCAACTTTTGGTGCTTCCTTCTTTGGAATATCAGCATTTTCTTCTTGTTTCAATTTCTTACGTTCTTTAACTAATTTAACTTTACTTCCTGGAACTAACCAATCTGGCAACTCATCTGGTACGCTTGCAATATTTTTATTAACCATATCAAAGATCAATCTCATACAAATTACAAACTCTTCAAAATCTAAATTGTCATCGTCATCAATATCTGCTAGAAACCATATCTTATTCAACACCGAAGAATCCTGCTTCGAGTTGTATAGAATCGGAAGAACCTGATCATGGGTAACTTTATTTTCAACCGGCTTCAAACCAGAAAAGATCTGCCAGTACTTCTTTATCTCGAACTGTTCTAATTTTGGCATTATTAATGTTTATATTATGTTTTTAGTTTACCTGGTTATTGTATTCACCAAATATACTTGTGGATAACGAAAGAAAAGACAAAAATAAAGATCACTTAAGAGACAGAAAACAGGTTTCTCACTATTAATTGCCCTTTCTTAGCTAATTATTGAATACAACAACCAATCTTAATAAAGATACAGCAAAAGAACAACGTCCACAACAGCAAGTAAATTGTTAACCAAGTTCATTAAATGTTGATGTAAAACAGTTATCAAGTTGGCTTGAATTTCACCAAAAGGGGTTTTCCCGCTTGTTTCGCCTTTGGTCTCTTTCTCCATTTCTCCATTACAAACGAAGCGCTCAATGAAAGAAATCAAATCACACGGAATGTCACTCTAGACGTCACCAAAATGTAGAATTGAAATATTTGTGATAATTGTTATTCTCAGTTCTTAATTGGGACAATTTTCGAGATGGGAAGAGAAGAGCCCTTTGTTTAAGTGAAAGAGAGACGATATAGGGAATAAAACAAAGAGATGGGGTGACAATTTTTAAAGATAGATTATTTTATACATCAGTGATACTTTGTCTTTATAATATTCTGGTCGTCGTCATTGAGATAGGAAAAAACATATATATATATTTATCAACTTTTCTTCATCGGTATAAGAGTCGAAACGACAATTGAACTCACTGTTTCACATGTCCATTATATAATAATAACAATACACCCATATCGATTATAATTTCTATTAATCAAAAACGCACACAAAAAAACTGAGTGAGTGTGATATAAATAAACCATTATAAAGGAATATCGTTATAGAGATAATGGGACGAAATAAAGATGGAGAGGATAAAATTACAAATACATTAGGACTTGATTGTGAGACTGCCAATGAAAGGGATTTACGATATAGGGCTCTCTTTCACGACCTAGACGTTTACGATGAAGGTAGATTGACAACAAGATCATTGAAAACAGCATTTCGTAGAAAAAACCATCCGTTAAGAGATAGTGACATTGCTATTCAAGAACTATTTAGATCAATGGATTCAAATCATGATAATGTAGTTGATTTTGATGATTTTAAGAAATTTGCCTTTTCTGCAGAGCATCAAATCGAAAAAGGTTTTAAAAAATTAGATTCTGATAATGATGGATACATTAAATTGGCCGATGTTAGTAAATATCTTTCTAAGTTGGAAAAGACTAACCATATAGTAATAGTTAACACTAGTCTAATTGGTAACGATATTGATGCAGAAGCAAACACCTGTAGAGCTGCCTCCCAAAGTAAAAAAAACACATTTGCATCGTTCGCCAAGTGGGCATTCAATCAAAAATATACAAATAAAGGAATCAATACTGATATGATCACCAATAATGATTCTGTTATTACTTATAACCAATGGCGAGATTTTTTATTTTTAATGCCAAGGAAAAGTGGATCAAGATTACACACTGCATTTTCTTACTATTATTTATTTAAAGAGGATGTCGATTTATCATCCGAAGGTGATATGACTCTAATAAATGAAATTTTCAGAGGGTTTGCATATTTTGTGGCAGGAGGTGTATCTGGTGTGATATCTCGTTCATGTACCGCTCCATTTGATAGAATTAAAGTGTTTTTAATTGCAAGAACAGATCTATCGTCAACTATTCTAAATTCTAAAGAGGATCTTTTGGCTAGGAATCCAAAAGCTAATGTAGATAAATTGAAGTCACCCATTGTAAAAGCTATCACATCATTATACAAACAAGGTGGTATTAAAGCCTTTTACGTTGGGAATGGTCTTAACACATTTAAAGTCTTTCCTGAAAGTTCTATCAAATTTGGAAGTTTTGAAATAATGAAAAAATTAATGACTAAAATTGAAGGTTGTAAGGATAAATCTGAACTTTCCAAACCTTCAACGTTTATAGCTGGTGGGTTGGCAGGTATGGCTGCTCAATTTTCTGTATACCCAATAGATACATTAAAGTTCCGTATTCAATGTGCTCCATTAGCAAATCTTCAGGACAAAAATATTCTAATAAATACAGCAAAACAAATGTATCGCGATGGTGGACCTCTAATATTTTATCGTGGATTAACTGCGGGACTTTTAGGTATGTTTCCATACGCTGCTTTAGACTTAGGTACATTCTCGATATTGAAAAAATGGCTAATCGTTAGAAAGGCAAAAGAAATGAATATTCCAGAGAAAGATGTCACATTGAGTAACTTAACGGTCATACCATTAGGTGCCTTTAGTGGTTCAGTTGGTGCATCTGTTGTCTATCCAATCAATTTACTGAGAACGAGATTACAAGCTCAAGGTACATATGCTCACCCTTATACATATACGGGTATCAGAGATGTGTTACAACAAACAATCAAGAGGGAAGGTTACCCAGGGTTATACAAGGGATTGATACCTACATTAGCGAAAGTATGTCCGGCTGTTTCTATTAGTTATTTATGTTATGAGAACATCAAACGAGTTGCCGAATTAGAGTAGATCAAATAAAAAAAGAAAACAATATCATTTTCAAATAAAGTTGGCGATGTTATTTTAACATATTCCATTCATTTCAATTAATCAATATCAATTTTGCATATTTATCATATACCCATCTTAATTTGTAAATTTATGGGAAATAGTACATGATATTATTAGTCAATATTCCACACAATATTATAAATTTAACAACAATGTTAATATTCTTTATTTTCTCGATTATCATGCTGTTCCTTGGATATCATTGCAGATAATAAACAACAACAACAAAGTTACAAACTTACCATCTCAAATTGAGAATATTGCTTTAATATATTTGCAAATTTCAATATTGATTGTAAACTACTTATTTATTCCCGTGTTTATATTATACCGATATATATATAAATATACACATATGTACATAATTAAATATTCCAAGAAAATAAAATAAAATAAAATAAAATAACAATACGCTTAATGAATAACTTAATTATATAATAGGGAAAGATTTCCTACGGGAGCCTTATTAAATATTGGATGTAATGGTAATGGGGATGCATATTTTTTCCATAGATTTGAATAATAAAATTGAATTGAACGTTGAGTTTTGCCACTTTCATTTATTAATTTTTCTCTACTAACTAATCTTGTATCGAAATTAGACGGATCCCTTTCACCAATACTTATTAACCTATGCATCTCATGATCAATATCATCATCATTTTTGATATATTCACGAGATCTTGTATACTTATTAATAACATTCCCAATACTACAATATAATATATCGGTTCTTTCTTGATTATTCAAGTGGTCAATTGGAATGTCATTCAAAGTTACAATTCTTTGTTGAGTTGGGGAAAATACTCTTTGGAATTGAAATGAATAATCTGCAAAATAATATTCTTTCAATAAAATGTCCGCATTATCTTTTGTTATTTTCCCTAATGTAATAAAATCTTCAAGAATTTCTTCAAATGATTTCCCAGATTGTGTAAACATGTATGCAAAAGTTAAACCGACATGATCCAACCCTCTAGTATAATCACAACCCGACAAACATACCATAAGTCGTAATTGTTTAGATGTCAGTTCACCAAGATTAAACAGTTCATCTAATTTATTAAAATCATTTCTTTCGATTTGTCTTGCTTCACCTCTATCGTTTAACTTTGTAATTAAATTTTTACAACCAAAAATTAGTAAATCAGAATCTTCAGAGATAATACCATCAACTAAACCTTCTTTCTCTAAATATACCATCTGTGAATCTGCTTCAAAAGGAGCTACAATATAATCTATATTTTCGGAACGACAATAATCTATAATACATTTAGCCATTTGTGACGTAACGTCTACGCTTTTCTTAAAACATTCTATAGCCTCAAGATGTTTCCCAGTCTCCCATAACGATACACCTCTCTGTTTATTTATATTTCTTCTTTCTAATCTACATGATTCAATTCCTTCTTTAACGTTTATCTTGGCACCATCAAATACAAAATATGGTTTAATATTATATCTTTTTAACATATCGATCCTTTTTATAAAATATTTTAGATATGCATTTGTATTTAAATTCATTACCAATTCGTAGGAACAACCGATCGTAGCTTTATGAAGCCATGAATAACCATCAATTGCCAATCTTTGAGAATATAATTGATCTAGAGTGATATGTTTCTGAATTGGTTTCAATTTGGTTAATAATCCAGTGACACCCATAGTTTCAACAAAATGTAAAATGCAAATGGAGAAGAACAGAAATGTGTTAATATAATTGATCGTAGTCGTATGTGAGTTTAACCAAACGTATTATTGCAATATACTAGTAATCTTTTATAGAACATAATACTACAATATAATTTTCTTCGGAGAAATTGTTCCCATGAAATGACAAGGTTATTATGTTAAAAGACTTATTTATATTTGAAAGATTAGTTAGTATTTAAGTTGCGAAATGACACTATCACTTCACCCCTTGATGAAAAAAAAAATCATAAAAAACAAGGTGTTACACATATTGTGGAATCCATAAGCCTAAACGTCTCGGATCATTCGTCGAATCAGAATACATTAACGATGACTTCCACCAGATACGTATTAAATTTGGATATTTGTTTTGTTTTCTTGTTTGTTTACATTTTCTTTCAAGAATGGAGGGAGACGCGAAATTATTACTAAGAAATTAACGAACGCCAAAAAATATTTGAAGAAGAAAAATTCCGAAAACCAAAAAAAGAGCGACAATTTTCTCCGAAGAAAAAGCTGGAGGGAACAGTCCTCGTTGCCATGGAAACATGATATAAGGGTGTGTGATAATAATAATAATAAGAAGAAGAAGAAGAATAGAGTATATTATAATGGGCGTGGGTGTAATATGTTTTCCATAAATGGTAGTTCAAAAAACACAAACAAACGATGGTTGATATTTACTGGAAGCTCATGTACTTATTCTTCTTTTTCTTCTTTCCCTCTTCTTTATTATATTTTAATCTATCAATCTCGAAATAGATGATTTGATCCCCCACACAACTCAAATATGCGCATCCTCCTTTTCCTTCATATATCAAAAGTTGACTATCAAGTTTAATAAACTTAAAGTTACACTGTTAATTAAAGAACTTACTCCAACCTTCATCATATTGAATTTCATTCATTTCTAATTTCTTGCTTCATAAATAAAAACAGTACGCGTTTCTTATTTGTATGGTGCGATCACTATTCGCGTTATTAATTATTGAAGAAAAAATAAGTTTACAGCACACAAAATATTAAGCATTGAGATGGTTCATATACTGCGATATAGCATCTAATAAATATCAGTATTTTAAATCTTGATAACTTAATCTAAATATCGTGAGGATAAGTTAACCGAAAGTTAACCAAACCTATCATCAAATCATCAAGTCATTCTTTATTTCCAGAACTTGTGAACTTATATACAACGGAGAAAAATGGCTACAGATACCCTTATTAAGGCCATCGATATAACTGATATCAATAGAATTACATCGGGACAAGTTATTGTTGATTTGATATCTGCTGTAAAAGAACTTATAGATAACAGTATTGATTCTGGTGCAGATCAAATTGATTTAACTTTTCAAAATTATGGTATTGAATCAATTGAATGTTCTGACAATGGTAGTGGAATCTCAGAAGAAAATTTTCAAACATTAACATTAAAACATTATACATCAAAACTGACCAACTTTAGTGATATTATGAATATTACATCACTTGGATTTAGAGGTGAAGCATTATTTTCATTATGTAATATCTCTAAATTATCAATAACCACTACCCAAAATGGTCCCAAAGCAAATAAAATTGAATATGATAACAATGGGAAAATAACTTCAAATAATATCACATCAAGAAATAAAGGAACCACAGTAGAGGTTCAGGAAATGTTTAAAAGTTTACCAGTAAGGAGGAAAGAATTTATTAGAACAGCCAAAAATCAATTTGCTAAATGTGTTACCCTTTTACAAAGTTATGCCATTATTAATGAGAACATTAAATTCACTATTATTAATATTAATAATAATGGTCGTAAAAATATAATTTTAAGAACTAATAAAAATGAAAATATGTCAAAGAAAATTTTGAATTTATTTGGTTCAAGTTGCCTTCACGGGTTATTACCACTGGATATATGTTTGGATCTACATGATGTAAAAGAAGAAATTCAAAAAAGAGAGAATAAAATAAAGCTATTAATGAATGGGTCTGACATACGATCTCAGCAAGATGATTTACAAGGTGTAGAATACAATATAAATGTATCAGGGTTTATATCTAAGAGTTCAGTTGGGGTCGGTCACAATTCTAGAGATAGACAATTCATATACATAAACAAAAGACCTATATTGTATCCTGTTTTGAATAAATGTTTTAATGAAACGTTTCGCAGTTTTAATAATGAAACTAATCTGAAGTATCCAATATTTTTTGTTAATTTTGAGATTGATCCTAATTTAATAGATATAAATATTACTCCAGATAAAAGAACAGTCATAATTCATAATGAAGATATTATAATAGATACACTTCGGGAGAATTTAATCACCTTTTTTGAGAAACAAGATGTATCTATGGTCAAATCATCGACTCTTGAAAAAAGAAAAAGAACAGATGAATACTTAAATGACAATGATGAAGAAATTAAGAATGAAGAAATACCAAAGGCACAAGATCTGAACTATAAAAAACCAAAAAGAAAAGAATACAACAATAAAACTTATTCTGATAAAGCTGATTTCTCTGACATTTCTATTGATGATCACGCAAATAATAATGATACAGAATTAAGTTCCATAATGGATATACGAAAAGATGATTTCCCAAGTTCACAAGGTGAAGAGAATAAATTACCGAATTCCGAACCATCATTTACCAAAGAAAAACCAGTTTTCGAGGAAGAGGAAAAAGAGCAGATTTTCTCAACTAATAAAAAAGTAGAACATGATGCATCAGGTAATAGCGAAGTATTAAACCAAAATTCAACAAATATCTCACTTAATAAGATAAACCTTGATGATTTTAAGAATCCAGAATATGATAATGATGCTAATAATTTCCCAGGTGGTAAATCTGAAAGTGAAGAAAGTGATACTAATGATGTAGTTGTTGTTCAAGTTGGTGAAGAAATTATTCAGTCTCAAGTAAAAGTTACACCGAATAAAGGGTTAGTATTCTTAGATGAGCAAGATGAGAAACCAACCAAAAGTAAAATTGATAAATCTAATTGTCATAATGATTGCCTCTCTGACGACCAACACAATTCATCGTGTAGTGACGACAATAGCTACAATCTCGTTGAGATTTCCACACCTATGGAAACTAATATTCGTTCTCCAGTAATAAAACTTGGAGATGACGTATTTAGTAATACATTAAAACTGAGAGCTATTTGTGAAGAACGAGAAAAGATTTTTAACAAGAAATTCGAAATATATGGACTCGATATTCCCCTAAATAAAGAAATTACTGACATAAAACTAGAGTTCAATAGGGTTATCACTACAATTAAAGGATGGGATACACCAAACAAAGAAGATAATAATGAGAATGTAATTAATGATGATGAACCAAGTGACGATAATATTCAAGATATAGCAAAAAAATTAACCTTAACCATCATTAAATCAGATTTCAATGAAATGAATGTTGTAGGTCAATTTAACCTTGGTTTTATTATCACAACAAAGAGGAATAAGCAGAATAAAAAAATAGATCTTTTCATCATTGATCAACATGCAAGTGACGAAAAATATAATTTTGAGATGTTACAAAAGGAAACAATATTTAAATCCCAAAGACTAATAGTGCCCGAAAAATTAGAATTAAACATCATAGATGAATTGACAACCTTAGATAATATTGAAGTTTTGGAAAAAAATGGATTTAAATTACAAGTTAATGAGGATGCCGAACCCGGATCTCGTATTCAATTAATTAGTAAACCGACATCGAAAAACACAACATTTGGTATTGACGACTTATATGAATTGATCAGTATGATTAGAGAACATGATGGTATAAGAAAGGATTATATTAGATGCTCAAAGATTCGCTCTATGTTTGCCATGAGAGCCTGTAGAATGAGTATCATGGTTGGAAAGCCATTGAATAGAAAAACTATGAAGAAAGTAGTAGGTAATTTGAGTACTCTGGATAAACCTTGGAATTGCCCTCATGGAAGGCCAACTATGAAGCATTTATTGGAACTAAATGAATGGAATTCATTTACAGATGATTATAATATTTGATCTATATATTTACATGATGAACCTACGTAATTTTAATTTTTTTTTTAAATATCATTGCAAAGAAAGTATATTGCGATTCATAAATCGTAGTAATGATTCCTCATATTATTAATCTTTTGGTTTCATTTTTCTGAATATATGGGATACTGTTTGAAGAATGTTTATTGACACACAGTATATGTAGGGGCGAATGATTAAATTTCAAATCCATTGATTAGCTTTTATTTGTTACTTCACTCAAATTAAAAAACACAATCAACCCTGTCTATCTAACCTATTCAATTTTCTAGCTGTTTTTGCATTATTTCTAGTATGTTGACCTCTAACAGGTAAATGAAGAACATGTCTCAAACCTTCGTACGTACCAATGCTCTTCTTTAATGCAATATTCCTCTTTACAACAGCTCGCGCTTCACCTTCGATGGTTATTGTTGATAACTCACTGGCAATATTCATTATTTGAGCCTCTGATAACTGATGCATTCTCATCCATGGATAAAATCCAAGTTTCGAACAGACTATAGTTGCCGTCTTTTCACCAATCCCATAAAACTTGGATGCTAGAGCTATTCTAATGACTTCTTTACCCTTGAAGACCTTACCTAAGATATGTACAACCATTACAATTATTTGACTTGTGTCTATATGTGTCCTTATGGTGATGTTACGCTTTAGTCCCTTCTTAACAACGACTTTTACTAATCTTTCTTTATATGTTCCCTTGTTATTTCAATTTCGCTTTGGACATAAAAATATACAATTACAAGCTTGAGAAAAAAAATAATATATTACAAAAGTTATTAGCGAAAATGATGTTAATTAAGTGCGCATAGATAATAGTTGAGAGAGAGAATAACTATGATGACAATAATAAGGTATAAGTTGTAGAATAAAGATAAAAAAAAGAATTATATGTTTTAGAATTATATGAAAATGCAAAAAAGTATATATGTAAATAGCAATAAAAAAATGATAGGGAGCAAATGCTGTCAAAAGAGCGATAATAGCGATGTTATATAAATAAGCTAGTGGTATTGTTGTTTCTTAATGTACTGATTCTTGAATGATTCTAGCTAGTTGTTCTACATCAAGTCTTTGGATGAACAAGTTTCTTAATAGACCTACCATTGTAATAAAACTTGCTAATCCAACAGGTACCACACAGAATACTATAATGTTATATAGATCTATTGTTCTCTTTGTAGTAAATTTAAAACCTGATAGATCCAATTTATTTTGTGAATTTTTCTTCTTTTTCCTTCTTGGAATAGAATGATTATTTTCATTTCGGGTTGAATCTTGGAGATTCTCTTCTTCTTCATCATCATTATCATCAGAAAATGCATAAGTATCATCAGAATCAGAATCAGAATCAGAATCAGAATTTGAATTTGATATCCTAGGAGAATTAGAATCAGTAATTGTTGTATTAGAATCCGTATAATTATTCAAGTTATCATTTTGTAAGCTTTTACTTCTATTATTCAATCCAGGTTTCTTTCTTCTAATATAGTTTAAATCTGAAGTTAGATAACTTTGCCATATATAACCACATGTTAAAATGCAGCTAATAAGGATCCAAGTATGTAAGAAGTAATTATTTTCAGGAGATAAAGAGTTCAATAGTAATAATTCAAACGAGACAAATATTAACGACATTGAGAACATTCTTAATATAGCAGCCACAGTGGAATATTTAACAATCCATCTTACCATTAAAGAATCCAGGATTGCATATGATAAATATAATGCCACTAGACACCAGATGGCACAAAACAAATATTCAGAGGCTCTAGCTGCTACTAAACTATTTATCACTAAATTTCCTGGAGTATCACTATCAGCGAATGTTTGAGTAGCAGCGATAGCGGCTCCAATCGCAGAAGTTGTTGACGTCACAGTTGATAAAGAAGATGAAGATGAAGATGATGATGAAAATGATGACGATGACATATGACTAGAGTTTAATAATGCTGCAGACGATATTTCTGTTAAATTATTGTATAACATATAGGTCTGCCAGAATCTAGTCAAAGTGTCTCTAAATGATTGTGGTTCATAAAGTTTTACGTATGGAGAATCCATCATTACATTAATACATCGTCTAAGTGAAGTGAAAGTATAGTATGATGGTGGTAACAATGAGACATCTCTACACAGAGCCATCAACATATGTTGTTTTGCTGTTAGATTGTTTAAAGACAAAGTCTTTATAGACATATATTTCTGCCTGAGTAAATCTTGATTCTGTTTACGTATCTTGACAGGCATATTTGAATAATTTTATGGAAATGAATCAAAACAAAATTAATAATAGAGACCGGTATGAATAACTTTTGTTTTTGAAAAACACTTTTGATATGATCAGAATCTGATATATTAATGAATGAATATAATAACCTAGAGGATAGATAGATGTTCCTAATTCATTTTTATTATTATTATTATTATTATCATTGTTGCTAAACAAAAAGAAAATTGTGCATTGTTGCAATATTTAGTAAAACTTCAAAACCATAACATTTTGTCATAGCAATATAATTCAAAGCGTTTAAACGATATGCGCACTAAAATTGCGGGAGTTCACAGCCAAAATTGAAAAAATGAGAACTATTAACAGTAGTATCTCTCATCTATCTATCTATACAAACAAAGAAGATATAGACACAGCTCATCTTTAGCATATGATTAGTATATCAGATATATATATATAAACACGTGTAAAAGGATGTTAGATGATACTATTTAAATGAAGGTGTGTTTAATATTTCTTTTTTTCTTTTGGTAAAGTATAACAAAAGAAAGAAAAAAAGGAGACACACACGTAAATATATATATATAACTATATATATATATATGGTTATTATTGCAAAATTTTGTTTAATTATTCTCTCATTGTATTTTAAAAATAAAATACCCAAAGAAGTACTTCAGAGAACTTATAAGTTTTCTAATGATTCAGCAATTTCATCCAATTCTTTCTTTGATTGAGTATATAATTCACCTAATTCTTCATTCTTTTCTTCTAATTTAGCGTTTTCATCTTGTAATGCAATTAATTTCTTCTCTAATTGTTCTAATTTCAAATCAGAATCTCTTAATTTATCAGTAGTTTCTTTTAATTTTTCATCATTTTCTTCTAATTCTTCTTCTAATTGTTGATTTTTCTTTGAATAACTTTCATTATTAGTCTTCAAATTAGAAGATTCATCGTTCAATTGTTTCAATTCATTTAATTCGTCTTCCAATTTTTCAACTTGTTCTTCCAATTGTTGATTTTTAACGGTCAAAGATTTAACTAAATTTTCTTTGTCGGTAACATCTTGTTCCAAACCTTTATTATCGTCGACATTAGATTCCAATTTTTCAATTTCATCTTCCAATTGTTGATTCTTAACAGTTAAAGATTTAATTTGATTTTCTTTGTCGGTTAACTCTTGTTCAACTGTCTTATTAGATTCCTTTAAATCTTCATATTTTTCTTGCCAAGTTTCAGCTTCTAATTTTAAATTAGTTAATTTTTCTTTAATCTTATCCATTGTTGCTAACGTTTCTATGTATATAATGTATGATCTTTATATTCAGAGGCAAGTCCAAATGTATATAATAATAAGAAAAATAGCAGTATGTTGTAAACTGAACTAAACTAAACACGTACATATATATACCATCTACTAAGATAATTGAAAAAACAGAGAGAGAGGGATCAAACGACCGAGAAACAAAATCAAAACAAATCAAATCGATTGAAATCACAACTAAAAATTATTTCTCTCCCAGCGAGAAACAAACAAAAACCGTTCGTGGCGCCGCCGGGAAAGGGGTGCAGCAATATCACGCAGTACGACTGCTCGAGATGGGAAGTGCAATTCACACGGAAATAAACATGTATATATCCTACTAGAGTCTAACACATGCACACACACATATATATAAATGTACTTGCAACTTAACCAGACATAGAACATATCACCATTTAATACTATCAGTCTACTTATATATATATTCAAGAATATAAGCAATATATATATCTATATATATATATACAAGCAATATATAAGCCCAGCAAACAAATTTATTATTTATTGTCTCGACCGACACAGTAACAACGCGCGTAGTCAATATTCTGTTGTTGTTTTTTTGCTGGGTTAATTCTATATTGATGCTATAATTACATACAGTAGTATCATATTAATGATGACATGCAAATGATGAGCAACTACAAAGACAATATTGATATGATATTTATACAGACGTTCTTCTTCTTCTTTGCTGGGTAGATTTTGCTATATGAAAAATATTATTGGTCATAAATATATATATATATAAGGGATAGTAGTAAACACTATTTTTAAATGCTGTTTCACAGCAAAACTGTATAATATACATAAACTCTTATTACAGCTATATATATAGTCAAAATATTCAATTACGATGATACATAGACACGGTTACCAGCGAGTGTCTTCACAAGAGAGTGCTTTATCACAAGTATCCAATTGGGATCGATATCAACAATTACAACAGATGAAACAAACTTCAGGTAGTAATACTAGTATTAATAATTCAAAAGAAAGAGAAAAGATAAATATTCAACCATTTGATAATAATAATAATAATAACAATAGTAATGGCCATGGAATTAAAAGACGTCATTCATCACGTCGTCATCGTCATAAAGATTTTACAACACAAACAGAATTAAATAATCTTCAAAAAAAGAATAATTTCTTATTTCCAAGAGGTTTTATAACATTAAAGAAAAGAAATAATAATAAAACTAAAAATCAAATAAAGACAAATTCAAGGTATAGAAATTATAACGAATTAAATGAAATGATGAATTTGATTGATTTGAAAACTCTTGATACGGAACAAATATTACCTTTACCAAGAATTTCAATATATAATGTAAATGGTCAAAATGCAATGACTGCTCAAATACGATCTTCTTCAACGGTCCCAAGAAATATTTATAAGAGACAACCATCAATAAAAAGAGTTTATATACCAATGACAGAGACACAACTCAGATTATTGCATTTAAAACGTTCAAATACTATGCCAACTCAGCAAAGACGATATCAACATCAAAGAACATATATGAAAAATGCAAGTAAAAAACATCAAGAGGAAGAAGAGGAAGAAAAGAGGTCTCAAAGGCAATTACGTTCATTATGGGAACAATATTTACGTGCAATTATACATCAAAGAATTCAATTACGATTAGAATTAATGAAAGCACAATCTGTGACATCATTACAATCACGAGATAATAATCCTGAATTCATTGCAATGATGAGATCTAAAAAAGGTGATAACAAAGATAATCCAATCATAATACCAGACGACCTTTCCTTTGATTCTAAGAGAAAGATGTATTGAACTGAACTAAAAGAAAACTTTTTTAATATATATACTATACATCTGCATATATATTAACATAATAATAGTTTGACACATTTTTTTGAGGGTTATATAATATAATCAATCACTCTGACTCTCTCTGCCCGCTCAATTAAAACAGAAAAACAGAAAAATTCATTTATTTTTAATCCATTCTGGTGATAAAAATGAATCGAACAAAGAAGCAACAGCAGTATCACGCATTGAATGCAGTAATAATACCCCCTACAAGGACAATCAATATATGATACTTTCTTAGTTTATAAGTATTAAAATTAGGTAATTCAAAATGATTAATCACTTTCTCGAGGTAAAGTGTTATGATTCAAAGCAACATCGCTTTCTATATCTATAATGCATAAAATAAATTATTTTTGAAGAGATATGAATATCTTGTTTGAATAGAATACTTAACGAGCGTTTGTTTGTTTGTTTCTGGTCCTAATCATCTACAATATATAAACAATACGTATAACCATCTACAATATATTTTAGCATATATTTTACTATTACTACAACAGAGGAAATTTTATTGAGATTGATCATTAGTCTATTATAACTATCAAGGATTTATATTATCGACCCCTTTTAACAGTGAGCCGTTATAATTGTCTCCATTTCTTGCTTCTCTTTGTGAAAGTTCATACATCACTTCCTTCTTCTCCCACACTAAAATAAATCATTGTGCTCTTCTACATCCTTTTTATCATTTATTTGCTTTAATATATATATATATATTCTCTCTCTCTGTGCGTGTTTCTCTCGCACTGTGTGCTTCACATTACTATACCCTATACATCATTCATTTTTCTTCTATTCTAATTTTTTTTTATTTTGATATATACTAAGAAAAAAAAATAAAATAAAATAGAGCAAGATTTAACTGGAAAAAGGTCTTATTAGTGCTCATACACAAAAGAGTATTACAAGACATTTACTCTAGGGTTGTTATTCTAAACAATACGTCAATAACAAAACATAACGGTCACGAATCACAATCAAACAAATATTAAATTTATAAAATTATAAAATTAATTATGGAGGCAATACCGACATTTCGTTTAAATGATCATGATTCATATTTTAAAATATCGCCGAATCTTTTCACTCCTGAAAGATTAAATTCATTCAACTCAATCGATTTATATACTACATTGATTAATGTTAGTGATCGTTTAGAAAATGGTATACGATTAAATAATATTAGTTGGAGAATTGTTAATAAAGCTTTACTTAGAGATCATTCAATTAATAAATCAAAAAAACGTGATGGCGTGAAAAATATTTATTATATTTTAAATCCAAATTCAAATAATATAACTAAAAAGGATTCAAATTCAAATTCAAATTCAAATAGTATATCACAACAGCATAAGTCAATAAGCAATATTAATAATGAATCTCAAATAAAATCGCGGCAAGAATCTACACAAAAATCATTATCATCATCAACTTATGTTAAACCAATGACTACAACTGCAGAATTGTTTCAAAAATATAAACCACAACCGCAACAAGGAAATAAAAAAGAAGATCCACAAAATATTATTGAAGGGTTTGATACAACAGAATCAACAACAAAACAAAAATATGAAAGCAATAATATCATAAGACGGGATGAATCTTTATTCCAAATGAATAATACGAGTAATAACAATGATGATGATGATGATGATAATAATGATAATAATGATTCCCAAACTAATAATACTAGCAATATTAAAGAATCTAATAGTTTTTTCAATAATAGGAATGAAAATAAAATATTTTTTAGTAGTGAAGATGAATACTCTGATTGGAATAGTATTTCAGATGAAGAAGCAGATTCTGATGATGATGATTTTTATAATGAAAATGATAATAAAATCACTCTTACAAATAAATCAAAATATAATCTAGATGGGGAAAATAATGATAAACAACGTAAAAGTCGTAATAAATATAGACAGAATGATGGTTATAATGATGATGATAATGATGATGACGATGAAGATGATGACGATTACGATGACGATGAAGATGATCAATATTATAGAAAGCAATGGGATAAATTAATGTTTACAAAGAACGATAATGCAAATAATTCAAGACCTACAAGTATAGCCAGTACCACAAGTAGCAACAATCATACTCATACCCAGAGCAATATAGAAAATACCAAGAGAAGTCTTTTAACAGGGTTATTCTCTAATGAAAATAATAAGACACATAATAGTAATAATAATAATAACAACAATCAGGATCGGATGGTAACATCTCGTTCAAGCAATTATTTTCATGACGACCATTCAACAAATCCCCGCAATAATGATAGATCTACGCAACAACACTCTTCTCGTTCCACTAATAACAACAATAATGTGGGCCCTGTAACATCACCTAATACCTCAACAAGTAATACATCCATGCATACGGCCCCATTAGAAGTAGTTCTGAAGAAATCTCAACCTTCCAATTCAACGACAACCACCCAGGTTCATAGTAGAACAAGTAGCTTCAGTAATAGTATATCTGCACCAAGAAGAGATCGTTACTTGCATGAGTCAAATGCTCCATTAACAGCTCAAACTATTTTACCAACAGCATTGTCAACACATATGTTTTTACCAAATAATATACATCAACAACGGTTAGCTGCTAAGAAAGCAGCAGCCAGTGGACATACCACTACACATCGTCCAGAAAGAACTCCTCCCGAAGAATTGACTACTACTACATCTAATTCGGAACCATCTGATGTTAATAATTCAATACCCAAGATAGGTAGAAGAAGACAATCAATGGATATCCCATCAAAGAATCGAAATAGTGGGTTTCTCAAGACTAGAATGGAAATTTCTGAGGAAGAAAAGAGCATACGAACTCACGCAAGACGTGCACAAAAATAATCAACATAATTTCATGAAATTTTTGTGATATGAAGAGGCTTGAATGGTAACCTTATTTCTAGATAGTGATATATTAATATACTTTGTAAGTAAAATATATATATGAATAGATTAGTTACTTCGTATATTGTGATTTAAATTTTCATTTTGAAAATTAGCTTTCTGGAAAAAAAATTTGCGATGAGCATCTTGAAAAATAAAAATAAAAGAGTGAACCATATATTTAAGAAACATAAACCACGGAAGGTATAGTTATTGAGCAGCTTTATCAACGGTTCTCCATACTTTTGTAATATTCAACATTCATATAAGAAGCATTTGGTATTAACCTATTCACATTCATATATATAAATATATCCCATCAAAAGTAACAATGCTAAGAAGACAGGCTCGTGAAAGAAGAGAATATTTGTACCGTAAGGCTCAACAGCTTCAAGAGGCTCAACAAGAGCAGAAGAGACAAATAATAAAGGAATCATTAGCACAAGGTAAGCCTTTACCAAAGGAAATTGCAGAGGATACAGAACTACAGAGAGATTTTCGTTATGACCAATCTCATCAAGCAGAAGATGATGAAGAAATAGATAATGAATATTCCCATACCAGTGGTCTAGTTGACCCAAGAATCATTATAACGACCTCTCGTGATCCAAGTACAAGATTATCACAATTTGCCAAAGAAATCAAATTAATGTTTCCAGACGCCACAAGACTAAACAGAGGTAATTTGATTATGTCAAATCTGGTATCTGCTGCCACCAAGTCCGGTACTTCTGATATTGTTGTATTACATGAACATCGTGGTGTTCCAACTAGTTTGACCATTTCCCATTTACCTCACGGCCCTACCGCATCATTCAGTTTACATAATGTTGTTTTAAGACACGACATAATGAATAGCGGGAATGTCAGTGAAGTTAGCCCACATTTGATATTTGATGGATTCGAAACTAAATTAGGTGAGAGAGTTGTCTGTATATTGAAGCATTTGTTTTCTCCTGGTACTAAGAAAGATAGTGAAAGAGTGATAACATTTGCGAATAAAGGTGATTTTATTAGTGTAAGACAACATGTCTTTGTTAGAACTAGAGATGGTGTGGAATTAGCCGAAGTTGGGCCAAGGTTTGAAATGAAATTATTTGAATTAAGATTAGGTACAATGGATAATAAAGATGCCGATGTCGAGTGGCAATTAAGAAGATTTGTAAGGACTGCAAATAGAAAAGATTACCTTTAGATCAGTTAACATATATACATACATATATACATATATCATATATTTTGATTCGACTTGCATAAATTATAAAAGATAAAAAAAAATATGAGAAAGAATGAATTTCAGAAAATTTTGGAAGAAGTTTTATGATTGATTTTATTTATTATTCGTTTATATCTATCAGAATAATATGGTATGTAAGTTTATAAATATTTAAATATGAATTTGTGAATTTGGAAATGAATGTGTATTAGGATTTATACCTATGAATCTATTTTTAATGTTTTTGGTTTAAATTGAAGTGATGGGTTGAAAAAAAGAAGAAGAATTTTTTTTTTTATTAGTACCAGGCCTGAAATGGGCATAACGAATATCTTAATCGTGTTTTGAAATTGGTGTAGAAGGTCTTGATGTAGCGTTGGAATCGCTTACCTTTTGTCTAAGAACAGCACCAAGATTCTCCATTTGCAAAGAATATGGAGAAGGTAGGATAGGACTTGTACCAGGTCCTTGAGCAGTAGCGTTGTTAGCTGTTGGTATGGATAACTTTCGGAAGGAAGTCGATGATGTACTACCTGTTCTAGAAGTTAGAGGTGGTGGATGGTAGCTGGCATTTGAATACGTCCTTGATTTTGTCTTCAAGTAAATATCAGGGTTACTATGATTGTTCCCTGTTTGAAACATCGAAGTTTTTAGCACAGATGGAGGTGCTGTTATTGATGATGATGGAGATGTTGTTGCAGTTCCTTGTTTTGAATTTTGAATGTTAAAGATTGAGTTCCCATTCTTAAGGCTAATGTTATTATTATTTTGTTTACCATTTGATTGATCTAGATCAAACATTGCAGTATCATCATCAGAAGAAAATTCATCGGACGATTCAATTTGAAATTTGATTTCATTGTTATTATCATTAGACTTCGAATTATCTTTATTTTGCCCCTTAGATTTTCTTGTCTTGCCATGTGATCTATGATAATAGTTTTGTGGAGAAGATAATGTACTCATTCCATTAGGGACATAAGTAGGTGATCTAGGCATAGTATTATTATTACTATTCCCTGAGAGTCTTCTTGATGATAATTTTGGAGATATGTATGATGTCCCTTGGTCACGTTTATTTGTTGTAGCTGTCATAACTGGACTCTTTAAGAAATTTGTACCAATTTGTGGTGGTGATAAAGAATGATTTGAAGCTGATGAATTTAATAATTCTGAAGGTGTCAATAAAGGCGATGATACTGATCCTGTTAAGAATGATGGTCTCCGATTAGAAATTGCAGGGTTAATATGTTCATCAGAAACCATATCAACATATGAATAAAATTTCAATACTTTACCTGAGGAGTCAGTTGCCGTATTAGAAAATCTTGGTGATGTTACCATTGGAGAAGTTTGAGTGGAACTGATATTTGTTCCTGAAGTACGACGACTACGACTTATTCTACGTGATCTTATCAATTTATCGATATTGACACCATTTTCATCATCCTCATCCTCACTATTGTCACGACTACTACCACCACTTGTTGAATCACATTCACTCTCATTATTGTCATCACTTTGTGTACCATTAAATATCTGTCTCTTATCAAGTCTTCCACTAATGGAAGAACTTCTAGAGAGACCCAAAGCCATATTCAAGCCAACAATGGAAGAATTTCTTGAATGGATTACATTAACGTTATCCATCTGAGTAGTATGATCTGCAATTAGAGAACATGAAGCATCTAATGCAGGTGCCACCAGATTTTCTATAGTCCTTCTCCTATGGTGATGATGATGGTTTGTAGAGTGTGCTGACAATGAGTTTGTAGGTGTAGCACTTACAGGTAACATCATTGGAGTCATTGAATTGGATGCCATAGAATTAACAGAGCCACCAGTCAGTTGTCTTTGTAAGAAAGCATTTGAATTTGATCTTTGTTTAGTTAACATATTTAAATTTGTCATGGATCCCAAAGTATTAGTCGATGAAGGTAAAGTAGTTAGGTCCTCTACACTTCTTTCAAAGATTAATGAATGTTCACTTATTGTTGGAGATGGAGGCACTACAGGATACATTGTTGTATTGCTATTTGTCCTCGAGATATTACTGCTCTTACGTCTAATACGGATCATATGTGGATTATTTGTCGAGGATATAGGTCTTTTGTCTTCATGACTTGGTGATAGATGTAAGATAGCAAGGTCGGTTTCCATGGTTGTGTGAATGTACCTGAATCTGAATCTGAATCTTATAGCTTTGTATTATTGTATTGTATATCTTGATGTGTTGTAAAAAATGAAAACAGAAAAAAAAATTTGTTAGTAATATAAAAATTTGTGTGTATATATATATTAATAATCAAATATGGATGTTCTTTTATTAATCCAACTAAAAATAAAAAACAAATGTATGAGCTATGATATTAATAATAATGATGATGATAATATGGTTGTTAAAAGGCAAAAATAAATGAATGTAAGTACGAAAAAGACAAAATCACCTAAATAAATTGAAAGAATAATAAAATATAATAAAATATAATGAGAGAATATAACAAAATAATGAGCTTATTATCTTTACTTTCTATCGATGTTAACCAAAAAGGTTCAAACATATAAATTTAACAAGTAAGTAAAAATAAAATAAAATAAGTATATGAGACTATAGAAAAAAATAATAGCAAGACTTCTTAATAAATGAATGAATGAATGGGCGAGACAGTGAGCAGAAAAAGGGTGGAGTTCTTTAGTTTGATTATATCAACAAAACTTTACATTAACGTATAAAGTAATTCAAGAGGCAAAAGGGGACCAAACAATGAATATAAATATATGTTGCTCTCTCTGTGTCTAGTTTAGCACAAGTATCCCATCTATTAAACCATGTCAATACAGCCAAATTACGAACGAACAAAGTAGTAGGCAAATATAGAGGCAGACAGATAGACAGACAGACAGACAGACAGACAGAAAGCCTCATAGTGCAATGTACAATAGCGTACATCAAAAATTTAGTATAAGCTATACAACATGGGCTGTTCTGTTCTCTCGGTCTAACATAAATAATATTACTCTAGTATTACCCTAGCGTTATTATTATCAGTCTGTCAACTATATGAGACCATATTGCTGATATAATGTGGTATGTATGTAGTTTGTCAAAGTATTGTTATTACTGGAAAAAAGAGATAGAATTGCCTAACAAACGTATTATTATAAGATTAGTTAAGATTTGATAGCATCATTTCATTTCATAATCAAACTGTGATAATCCTCTGCCGACGCTTATCTCTCTCTGTATATTTTTATATAATATCTGTTACTGTGCCCTCTTCAGTCATTAATTTGGTTTCTTCTTCTGCTTCTCCCTGTTTTCTCTGCAGCCAACAAAAGTTTTTGAAATTTCTTTCGATGGAAAATTCGCTCATTTTGGTTGTTCCCAGAAGAGTGCGTAGGGTACGCCAGTTGGTGTGTGGGTTGTGTCTATTCTACAGTCTCTCTCTCTCGCTCTAGTGCAAGTGTGCCCGTGGGTAAGGAGGCGCGTGAACTGAGACAACAGTCAAACAATCAAATTGGTGGACGGACGGATTGTAGTGTTGTTCTTGGTTTCGAGTTCTGCTGGGGTCAAGAAATAAAATAGATAAATAAAAAAGAGGATAGGGTTGTGTTTTAGGGCTACTGGGCTATATCCAAATAATCATAAATACCAGGTCCATGATAAATATTAAGGATATCTCTTAAAATAAAGCTAAGCAGTGTTTATCCAAAGGTCGAAGAAAAGATAGGACGTGTTCATATATATACATTGAGAAACCTTTGTTGTTAGGTAATTAGTCAATGACGATGATACTTGAAAAAGTATTGCCATCGACAGGAAGAGGATATAATGTTTGGAATAAGTTAAATTTTACTCATCGATTGATATTCTATTGCAGATTTCATAATAATGTTGTAAATACTAGATATATCAATAATAACAATAATATGAAAATAAATTCAAACAAGTTACAACCAAAGGAAAGAATTTCTATATTACAAAATAATTTAAACAAATATTATCCTTCAATGTCGTTATTAAATAATGAAAAAATTATTCACAACAATATTACTATTGAACAATTCATTAACACTTATATAAACAATGAAAGTAATGATAAATTGGATCATGATAAACCTGATATTAACTTAAAGATTAATGGCAGAATAAAAAATATTAGAATGGCAGGTAAAAAAATGTGTTTTATTGATTTAATTGATACGCAAATTAATCAATCAATTCAAATTATTATAAATTTTAATAAATTAAATATAATTGATAATGAATTTATTGAAACTACAACTTTTTTAAAAAAAAATGATTATATTCAAGTTATAGGTTATCCTGGTGTCTCTGAAAATATTAAAAAGACTGTTTCATTGAAATGTACAATGTTACCTATAATATTAAGTCCCATTCAAATATCATTACCTAATTCATTACAAGATAATATAAAGATTAATAAAAATAGAGTATTGGATTATCAAGTGAATGGGATACAAACAATGGTGAAAAGATCTCAATTGATTAATTTGATTCGTGGTTTCCTATTAAATAGACAATTCATTGAAGTTGAGACACCAATTTTATCAGAAAAAACTAACGGGGCTAATGCTTTACCATTTATAACGAAATTGAATTTTAGTGATTCGAATTTACAATTACGTATTGCACCTGAACTGTGGTTGAAAAGATTAATAATTGGTGGATTAAATAAAATCTTTGAAATTGGCAAAGTATTTCGTAATGAAAGTGTCGATTCTACTCATAATCCAGAATTTACTATGTTAGAATTATATCAACGTTATTTATCAATGGATCAATTGATTTTATTGGCTCAAGATATGTTTAAACATGTTATAAAAGGAATGATCGAGTTAGAAAACTCTTCTTCTTCTTCTTCTTCTTCTTCTTCTTCTTCTTCTTTATCGAATGATAAAAATAATACTATACATCAATTGTATCAAGAATTACAAAATAATGATTGGAAATTTAAAAAAATTGAATTTTTACCAACTTTATCAAGGGAAATGAAGGTAGATTTCACAAAGATAGATCTTTCACAAACTCAAAGTTTAATGGACGTTATACCAATTGAAGTAAAACACGAGATATTTAACTCAAAAGAACTTCAAGAACCTGGTTTACACCTTTCACCCCAAAGAATTCTAGATAAACTTTGTGGCAAATATATTGAATCTCGTTATTGTCAAACACTATTACCTACAATCATCATGCATCACCCAACTATAATGTCCCCATTAGCGAAAATTAATGGTCTGGATGATAAAGTGAGTCAAAGATTTGAAGTATTCATTAAAGGTAAAGAGTATATTAATGCTTACGAAGAAGAAAATTGTCCACAATTACAATTACAAAAATTTGAACAACAACATAAATTTAAAAATAATGATAAGGAATCCCTAGATGTAGATTATGAGTATGTAGAGGCAATGAAATCTGGAATGCCTCCAACTGGTGGATTGGGGCTTGGGATTGATAGATTATGCATGTTATTATTTGAAAAATCAAGAATCGAACAAGTTTTATCATTTGGATCCCTTGACGATGTAAATATACAATAATGATTAGGCACATATATAAATATACATTCACTTGTACATAAAATTGCATTTATTTTTTATTTTTTTTTGATATTGTTTCTTTAAATTACGGGAACTTGAAATAGATGAGTTGAAAAGTAACGTAAATACAAAATACGCGAAATTATTAACATTTATACATAAATGTTTATGGTGCCATATTTGACGTTTGGATCATTATAAGGACAGAATATCAATATAGGATTAAACAAATCAATTAGGTTAAGTGAAATTAAATAAGAAAATGGCTGAAACGAAACAACCCCCTACGGTTCTGGCATCACTGGATAAATTACATACACAATCATATTTCTCACCTGTCCCTGAAGCTATCAATAATGTCGATTCACAACAGGAAGAGATTATAATGGGGATCGATGAAGCTGGTAGAGGTCCCGTTATCGGTCCCATGGTATATGCCGTGGCATATTGTTCACGTACTTATCAAGATGAAATAGTTATACCGAAATACGATTTTGATGACTCTAAGAAATTGACAGATCCTGTACGTCGTCAGTTGTTTAAATTAATGTACGACTCAAAAGAAATTGATGCTGTTGGTTATGCTACTACGTGTATTACACCTTGTGATATATCCTCAGGAATGTCTAGATTCCCACCTACTAAGCAATACAATTTGAATGAACAAGCTCATGATACTACGATGGCATTGATCCAGGGTGTCTTAGATCAAAATGTGCATTTATCACATATATATATTGATACAGTGGGTCCACCACATACCTACCAACGTAAATTAGAAAATAGATTCCCAGGGATTAAATTTACAGTTGCTAAAAAAGCTGATTCTTTATACTGCGTAGTTAGTGTAGCGAGTGTGGTAGCTAAAGTCACAAGAGATTTGTTGGTCGAACATTTAGAGCAACAATACATTGAAAGCACTACACAAATGGGTTCGGGATATCCTTCAGACCCTAGGACGAAAAATTGGCTTAGAGATTCTCAACAGCCATTATTTGGATGGCCAACAGATATTGTTAGATTCTCATGGCAAACGTGTCAAACTTTATTGGACAAAGCTGCAGATGACGGAGTAGGTATCCAACTAGAATGGGAAGAAGATCTAGTTAATAAAAAGAACAAGTCGATGCTTACATGGGACTATTCTAATAATAGTGATAGTATGGCATCCATACAGCAAGCAGACAAACTCATCACTTTAGATTCCTGGTATCATGCATAAGAATCTCCGCTTCTTTTTTTTTATCACAACATAATCTATAAGAACTACCGTAATTTCATGTAATTTCAAATGACTCCATTTAATTCAGCCTGTTCAAATGTGTCCGTTCATATTTGATTCTTCTAAATAAAGATGTATACGTTTATATATGTTTCAAACGACAATAGCGCCAGGCTTGTAGATGCGTTTTATGGCAACAGAAATATTTTTTTGTTTTCAAAACACAATGAAATAATACCGAGAGTTATAGAGACCGGGCAGACACATAGTTATTTGTCACCCCTTCTTTCTCTGACCATAGATGTAACAACGAACTACAATTGCAAGTTGTGATTAAAGTCAACATCAAAGCTTCTTTTTAATTAATTCGTATTGAATTAACTATTGATAATATATATCTAAACTTTTAAAAGAGTACTTTTTTTTTTCAATCTCTTAAGTAGTGTTTTGAAAAACTATCCATCTCCACAAGTCAAACGATGTCAGCACTACTCAGAACTGTACCACGTTTTACTAGAACTTCTTTGATCGCTAGTCAATTGAGATTGCAATTGAGAGGTTATGCATCTTCATACCCACCACATACTATTATTGGTATGCCAGCTTTGTCTCCTACAATGTCTCAAGGTAACCTTGCTGCTTGGTCTAAGAAAGTAGGTGATCAATTGGCTCCAGGTCAAGTGATCGCAGAGATTGAAACAGATAAAGCTCAAATGGATTTTGAGTTTCAAGACGACGGTTATTTGGCTAAGATTCTTGTACCAGAAGGAACTAAGGATATCCCGGTCAATAAACCTATTGCTGTTTATGTTGAAGATGCGGCTGATGTTTCAGCCTTTAAAGATTTCACTGTGAAGGATTCCAAACCTGCTCCAGCTGTAGAAAATATTAAGGAAAAATTAGAACCATCAACTAAGGCTACCTCAAATGTTTCTTCTATGAAAACCAAATCGGGTTCTGAAGTTACTAAGAATAAGGCATCTTCTTCAACTGGAAATCATGGAGGTAGAATTTTCGCTTCACCATTGGCAAAGACTTTGGCTTTGGAACATGGTATTGCCTTAAAGAATGTAACAGGTACTGGTCCAAATGGTAGAATTATTAAGAACGATGTTGAACAATTCTTAGAAACTCAACAGCAAGAACCTTCCATTTCCAATGCAGCATCTGAAACTGCAACTAAACAAGCAGTTGTAAGTCCATCATCAGCACCAGCTGCATCTACTACTGCTTCTTATGAAGATGTTCCAATTACTACAATGAGACAAATTATCGCGGATCGTCTTTTGCAATCAACTAGCACAACCCCATCATATATTGTTTCCTCAGATATATCTGTTACTAAACTGTTAAAATTAAGACAATCTCTGAACTCTACTGCACAAGACAAATATAAGATATCTATTAATGATATCCTTATTAAAGCCATTACTGTGGCAGCTAAGAGGGTTCCGGATGCTAATTCATACTGGTTGGCTAACGAGAAAGTTATAAGAAAGTTTAAGAATGTTGATGTGTCTGTTGCAGTTGCTACTCCAACTGGTTTATTGACTCCAATTGTAAAGAACGCAGAATCTAAAGGGTTAATCGAGATCTCTAATGAAGTTAAGGAATTGGCTAAACGTGCAAAGATAAATAAACTAACCCCAGAAGAATTCCAAGGTGGGACTATATGTATATCTAATCTAGGAATGAATTCGGCAGTGTCTATGTTTACATCTATTATCAATCTACCACAATCCACTATTTTGGCTATTGCTACTGTTAAGAAGGTCGCTATCCCAGATGCTACCGCTGAGAATGGTTTCTCATTTGATGATCAAGTTACTATAACCGGAACATTCGATCATAGAACTGTAGATGGTGCCCAAGGTGGTGAATTCATGAAGCAATTGAAGCAAGTTATTGAAAATCCACTAGAATTATTGTTATGATAGTTTTAATATTCTTTTTTAAAATAAAAGCTCCCCATGTTATATAAACACCCTCGTCTATCTGCCTAATCACATATATACATATACGTATATATCTCTAATATTCGTAAGAAGTAATTACTTTAAATAGGTTACAACTGTAATGAAGGACGGTACCTTCTTCTTCTTCTTCTGAATTCAATTCAATTCAAAGTTCCTTATGTATTGTTATAGATTCTTCAAAATCACGTTATACGACATTTATGTACCTTTTTAAACTGTCCTTCAATTTGTTAATGGGTGATCCACGGCTTCACTGGCTCACTTTTTTAGGAGCTTTCTCTGACAAGAGTAACAATAATAAATATAAAGAAAAGGGCAGAATCATTCTTTTCAGTATCTGACAGATTGGTTATAAATAAATCTGTGCAAACGAGACATATATAACTGTAACCCTTCATTAACGCAAAATAATTTAAGAATATGTCATTTCTTCCATCTTTCATTCTAAGTGACGAATCTAAGGAACGTCTAACTAAGTTCTTCAACTTAACTCACACAGTTGCCCACTATGGTTGGATTCCATTTGTACTATATCTAGGATGGACTCAAACAGCAAACAAACCAAATCTATTGAATTTGCTATCTCCTTTACCAAGTGTATAATTGCAAACGCATTACTAATGTTTTAAAAACAAGAAACATTAAATAATTATTGGTACCATCTACATGTACATATATTACATCCATATTATCTACACACACATATATAAATATCTATACGTATATATCAAACGTTAACCGACAAATATAATATCATTTTATGATAACGACAAATACAACTATTCGTTTCCAACCCACAAATTAAGACATATAAAAATAATAATTAATTAAATGATATATAATAGACTAAAAATATTCGATTTTAAAGAAATATTACTTAGTAACCTAGGGAAGCTAATTGCTTAGCAACGTCAGATTCAGCAGTAGCAGCAGAGGCGACAGCAACCTTCTTGTTGAAAGCTCTCTTCTTAGCGTAGTATTCAGCAGAGCTGACCTTTCTCTTAGCTTCAAGCTTGGCAACAACATCTTCGTATTTCCAACCGACAGCAGAAGATAGCTTGGATAGAGTGGTGTATTTTCTACCTGGCTTCAATCTTAGAACTCTTAGAGCGTTTGGAACAACAACTCTCTTCTTCTTGTCGTATGGTGGTGGGATACCTTCAAAGACCTTTAATCTTTCAAGAGCAGCCTTACCACGAGGAGTCTTATGTTGGATCATACCTCTAACAGCCTTGTAGAAGATTCTAGATGGGGCTCTGAAATGGAATGGACCATGGGTTTTGTTGTATGCAGTGGCTTTTCTCAAGTAATCGTGGTACTTTAACTTGTTTCTGAAGAATTCACCAGAGACATTTAGGGATTCAGCTCTGACAACAACGATCTTTTGACCGTTCAATAGTTGCTTAGCAACAACGGAGGCTAGACGACCTAGTAGATGGCCCTTACCTGTAAAATAGTAGTTTTCATTGTTTCATAACTTTATCTTCATTAATCATCTTTCCTAATATTAACATTTAATTAACTGTTAAATTGACTAATTAATACAATTTATATCAGATATAACTTATGTTTGTTGGGAAATATGAGATTATTGAAGTATCAAACAAATAAAAAAATATTATGTTAGTAATCTGTGATTTATTCATATTGGCTTTATTCAATAAGGTGACATCTATGCGATTATTCTAAACATTACAATCATCCATCTGTATATCTTATTTCCTATCTATATTAATAACTTTTTTTCCACTTCTATTGAATGATTCTTTCATTTGTAACATAACATGATGTATCTTATCTCTGCGTAATTCATTCTTTTAACATACCATCAACGACAACAACTTTTTCGAAAGTAGACATCTTTACTGCTTGGTTATATCTTTTATTGAAAATTTCAACCTTTAATTAAACACTACAATAAATATATATATACTTTTTTAACAATCAAGTTTACTATATGCCATAATACATCTTCAATAAAGTTGAATATTGATGGAACTTACTATCCTAACCCGGGACTACAATAGAGTATAGCATGTAGAACAGTGTCTAACTATGAGAACCATGGTAGAGAGATAATGAAGCTTCACTGGGGTTTCCACGTTATTACAGTAGCGCAACTCAACCGTTACAAGAATCATAGCCATAGTAACTTTGAATATTTTCCAGATAGTGAATAATATTTCAGAATTGGTGATGATGGCAAAAGAATTAACTTTCAAGCTGCTTACAGTATCAATGGGGCTGTGCCAGAAGGGAAGTTGTGGTGTGTACCGGGAGAGCCAACCTAACAATAGAGCAGATAGTCCCATCACCCAACGGAATGCCCCTGTCTAACTCTAACCGTAAAGTGAAGGGACCGTCTGTTTAATTTTAAATTGTTTACTGGGTAGCTAAAAAAAAAGAGTTACGGCTCATTGTTGCGGATCAAAATATTATTTCTTACGTTTTCCTGAAATGTTTGAAAAAATAAAAAAGTCTGTAAATTTGTAATGGATGTACGGATGTAGCAGTCAAAAAAGCACAATTGACAAAAAAAGTCCGAGTATGTCATTAATTAGAAATATTAAAGTTGTCATCAGTTTTATTGATAGTTTTCATATATACCTATTGTTATGTTCTATAATTATTTAAAAGAAAATATGTATTTAAAAGAAGGGTGCATTAGTGAAATGAGAGAAGTCAAAGATGAAGAAAAGTAGCCAGCTAGTTCTGTTTTTGAAATTATATTTATTCATTGACAATTGTTACTTTAGCATTGTCGGTATCTAAAATTAAATCCTTATTAATTTTTGGACCCTTCGCATCATTCGACATTTCAGGTCTTTTGATAGGTGAAGATACTAAATCTTTGGCAGAATCATTTTCAATATCTGTAGTATTACCCATTTTATTTCTTTCCTCGTTACTATTACCATTTAAAGTATCAAGTTTTGGTGTGTTATTAACCGAACTAAATTGCAACAAATTCAGGACACCAGGGGAACTTTTAACATGGCCTTGTGACTTGGCTGTAGATGGTGTAAATCTTGGATTCAAATTTTTAATGCTAAGTGTATCCATGTCCGGTTTCATGTTGGGATTGCTCGCATTTTCTTGTTTCGGAGACTTGTTACTCTGTATAGTACTGCCTCTCTCTGGCGTGTACGCCTCCATGGCAGTAATATGAAATGATTTCGAAGGCGATCTCAATAAGGAATCGTAAGTATTTGAACCATTAGTGTTCAATGCTGGTGCTGCAGAATTCGAGAGATTAATCTGATTAGCTGGTAACATCGTTGTTTGATACAATGATGTTCGTATATTAGGTAGAATAACGTCGCTATTCTCAATATTATCCAACTTAGTCTCTTTTTTTATATCAGTACTGTTTAAAGATGATACTGTTGTTGCAGTTGTGTTCGAATTATTGGTTGATGATGGCCCACTAGATGAAGAACCATAAGATGCATTATTGAATGACACCAGGGCATTGTTGTTAGCATTAAAATTTACATTGATATTTGGGTTGTTTGACCTATTTAATCCTCCGTTTGGGTTCTCTAACTGGACCTTTAGGTTATTATTAAAATTATCTTTATTGTTTTCAGATTGGAAGACGTTCTGATAATTGATCTCTTGAATCGGTAAATTTTTAGAATTTTGTTGATTAATTTTAATTATATCCCCCATATTCTGCAAATTACTCATATTGTTACCGTTGTTATTTATCATTTGTGGTAGTTGATTTTGTGATTCATTAGAATTTGAATTAGTTTTAGAACTTTTAGGCAAATTTGGTAATTGGAAATCAACATTACTATTATTATTGGATTTGTTGTGGTTAGACCGTGGAACAGGGTTGTTCGATTCCATGCCGTCATTACTATTTTCATCTGATTTATAGTTATTTGAATTTTGTTCTGGAAATCTTTGAATTGGTAAACTGTTATATTTGGACATATGTAATTGTAATTGTCTGATAACGGATGAACCACGTTTAATTTTTGATAAATTACCACTATTCCATTTATCAATAAAATCTTTTTGAAAAGCTTCACTAATTCTCCATTTCATACCTTTCCCAGGTTCATTCGGACGTCTTGGTACTTTTTCAAACGCTTTATTTAAGGATAAATTGTGTCTAATTGAATTTTGCCATCCTGTCTTTGCAAATCTATAATAAGCATAATTTGATGCAATAAATTTATAAATGTCAGCAAGGGAGATTATACCTTCTTTGCTTGATAGGATAGCCTGAGTAATCATTGTTGCATAGGAATGTGGTGGTTTCACAGTTTTATTTTCATCTCTAGATAAATCAGATGCAAAATCAATGGCATGAGGAAATCCACTTATTGATAAAGAATTATGAAATCTTGAAGAAGTTGATGAACCTGATGCAGATGATGATGATTTACTATGGTTTTTAAAATCGTTACCCATCAAGTTTGTTGAACCTTCTAATCCATTGGTGAATGCATTACCATTTGAATGAGCGGGTAAATTTTGATGTATGAATTGAGTACCATTTGGATATGGTAAATTTGAACTATTCCCATACATTTTAAAAGTTCGTGTTTGATTTATTGCATTGGAGGCTCTTTGTTCACGTTGTACTTCTTGTAATTGTTGTTGCTGTTGTCTAACATATATCGAATTTCTAATTATTTCATTCAGTAATTGGTTATTACTTTGTCCCGATGTACCCATAGCACTTAACAATCTTGGCATTAATGCTTCAAAAGTTGAATCGGAAATAATAGGTTCCGTATCAGGTAGGATAAACATCATTTGCGTACCACCAATATCTAGGATTGTCCCCGACGATAATTTCACAGCAGGATATTCTTGACCAGTATGTACTCTTTCAAAATTTACTTTTGCACCATTTCTACCTAGAACATGTAATTCCCAACCACCTTTCTCTGTATTAAATATTATTGTAGCATGTTTCCTCGAAACTACTTTCCCTGGGCCTAAATCGATATCAACGTTTGAATCAGGTTCTAATATTTGATTTGTGTTTGCGTTAGTACTATTAGTCAAAACGTTGTCTGTGTTTCTACCAATGATAATATTTAAATTTTTAACATAAAATGTCCAATCTCTACCTGCTAACTTTGCATAAGCTTGAACTTCACTAGCTAAATTTTTATCATTTGCATAAGTTTTCATTACTGTAGTATGTTGTTCAGGTTCAACCAATAAAGATATTACCGTATTTATCAAACTTTGATATTCCTGAGGAGTATGAGGGTTTTGATAGATATAATTGTAAGTTGACATTATAATAATTGTAGTATGTGTAAAATAAATAAAAAGATGAAGTAGTAATAATACAGTATTCGAAAATAAGGTTCTAATAAAATGTGGATGAATTCGTAAAAAAATGAACTAATGTAGGTATGAAATGTGAAATGCAATAAAAAATGTGTCTAATTATGATTGCAACAAAAAATAATAATAATAGTTATAAAGGATAGATCACTGTATAATTCTATGAGTGATAAACACTTGATGATATTGTTAATCGTTTGTTTATTTTTTTATTGTTTGGAGTGATCTAATATGATAAATTATCTCCCTGATAACTTAAACGAGAATAAATTTGATATATGAAAAAGATTCTATGTTGTTTGTGTATTTGTCAAATAGTTTATAATCTGTTTTCAATAAGAAAAAGTTAGATTCTTATGATAGTTTAATAAATAAATAAAACCAAAATATAATACTATTATGACACTACCAGAATAAGTTCTAAATAATCTCTTTCCTTCTTCTTTCTGAACTTGTATTTTTTGCTTTGAAGATTATAGAAATTAAAAAATATATATATATATTGTATAGTTCTTTCTCTTATCTAAGGACTAGTCAATAGTAATATTATATGTTGATAAAAATTGATATAAGTTTCCAATATTAACAGTCCTTTATTTTAATTATTTTTTATTTATATTTTCCATCACTCTAATAACAATAATAATAAACAAAAGCAAATCGCTATAGTTAAATTTTTGAATATTACTTGTTATGATTTCTGTCTTTCTGTCTTTCTCTCTTGCTCTCTTTTGTTTTCCTGATCTCAAATGTTTGTTTACCTTTCCCGTTGTAATATTGAAAAATAAAAAAATGTGTTTACGATGAATTTCATTCGCAAAGAATTTCTAGTTCTCTTCGCTTTCTCTCTGTGCGTGAACGTTATTCGTTGTTGCATCCGCTTTGTTTACAAATTTAATATATTTTAAACATTTTTTTATCTCACATTTGAACTGCTTCTACTGCAGCTGTTATTATACTTTGCTTCAAACTCTTTCTTCATTCGTTCGTTTTACTCGCTTTTCTCTCTCCTTATAATAACTAATGCTAATACTATTACGTACAACCTTGCGGACCCCTAGACTGTTCAGGTTATGTAATAGAAATAATGACAAATTATATAGCAAATGAATAAGTAAGTCTCTCTCTGTCTTCACATATTTTAATACCGTATCATGTATAATGAACTTAATAACTACAATTAGGAAGAGGAAGAAGATGCTTGGATCATGTTGGCGATATTTTGAACGGAATGGGTAGAAGTGATCGAAGGAACTAAGATTTTGAGTATACATAGTATACTAGCCCTAAGTTGTGTAACTGTGCTGGACGGTACCCCTTACACGTTATAGGATATGAGGGTTGGGTATCCGTCTTCATTTTTAGCCCTAATTTTGGGTTCATTGAAACCCTGATGCACTATATAGTTCTATTTTTTTTTTGGTGCAGTCTGAAGCTTATTGCCCTGCCCTGTCCGGTGAAAAATTCCAACAAATTGTGGTGATGACCTTGTTGGGTGCTCTATTATGTGATTAATAATCAGTAATAATGGTAGAGTAAAACGAAAATACTTTAAATGGCAGTTCATAATATAGATATATATATAGATATATATAATTATATCGACACTTATAGGTAGTTGTTTGGTTAGTCTCTATCTTCAAGTATTAAGGTCATAAATATAGGACTAATATCATTATCCCTATAACGTTTTTAGTTTTTAGTTTTTTGAACTGTTGAATTGAAAGAAGGTGATCGTTATAGCTAGTTTATTATCATACTTTTGCAGGTCGTATATATATTATACTATATTTTACTAATAAAAGAAGAAAAATGTCTGAAGTTGACGCTCTTGTTGTTTCATTCATTGCTAATGTTAATGTGAACGATGAACGGTCAAATGATATTGCAATTAAATTGACAGATTTGATTCAAAATAAAAAAATTAAATTATTACAAATTATTGTAGCATTAAAGGATAGGTTCGTTTCTGAAGATGAAAGAGAAAGAATTAAAGCTTTGAAATGTTTATCATGTGTTCTATGTAATATTGAACCTCAATTATTATTAAAGAATGATATTTCTGTATTAATTAACTTTTACATGTCAAAAATTACAGATAAACCATTGATGCTAGAATGTCTGATGGGATTAGATGCTCTTATGACAATGAAATATATTACAATTGATCAAACTATAACAGTAATGCTGTTTTTACAAAAGGACTATGTTTCAAAAGATTTTTTAGCCGCCGTAAGAAATTATCCATTTTCTATATTACAAAATATTTTCGATAGATGGGAAACTTTATTGAATAATAAAGACAAAGATAATTCCAATAAAAATTTGATAATCTTATTCATTCAAACGTATATTACTATTGCATCTGGAGAAAAAGATCCAAGAAATTTGTTAATTTCTTTCCAATTAAATAAGTTAATCACTACGAATTTCAAGTCCGAATCTATTCAATTTGCCCAAGCTCTATTCGATATTCTATTTTCATATTTCCCAATCACTTTCAAGCCTCCAAAGGATGATCCATATAAGATCTCTAATGCTGATTTGAAACTTGCATTAAGATCTGCAATTTCTGCATCTGACATATTTGCAGAGGATGCATTCAGCAATCTGATTGATAAATTAGGTGCTACTTCACCCGCCATTAAAAATGATACTTTATTAACTTTATTGACATGTATTAATAAGTTTGGTGGTAAAGCTTGTATTGAATTTTGGTTACAAATGTGGAACGCTTTGAAATTTGAAATTATGCATAGTGGAGATGGCTCTGAGGCGACTTATTTAGATCCTATTGCTCAAAATGATGATAAAATAGAACAAAATGGTTCATCTGTATCTAATATTCAAAGTAATTATCAATTATCATTAGATGTTTTAAGGGCTTTAGCTAATCAATTAATTGCATTGGATGAAATTGCATTCAATAAATATGTCAATCATATCTTGGAAGAATTGAAACCAAATTTTGAATTTACAAAGGATTTAAGACAAAGTTGTAGTATTATGGCTGCAATTGGTAGTGCCAATTTAGTTGCTTTTAATAAAGTTATAGATTTAACTTTACCTTTATTTTTAGAGAATACAACTGAGATATCTAAATTGAAATTGATGTTATTGAATTTATCCTTCTTTTTAGACTCTTATATTAAAGTTACAAAGTCTTTCAATGGTAATGAAACGGAATTGAATGAATTTATTAAATTAAACCATTTGAATGATTCCAAAGATGAAATTTTAATGATCTTGGGGATGGCTTTAACTGGTAACTCTAAGATCGAAGTCACCGTAAGAACATTATCAGTAATTCAATTCACAAAGATGATTAAAATGGAAGGTTATCTAACTAAAGAGGAGATTTCCCTGATTATCCAATATATCACCGAAACTATATTGACTGATAATAATAAGAACATATATTGTGCTTGTCTCGAAGGTCTAAAAGTGATAAGTCAAACACATGAAAGTTTGGTATATGACGTCTCTCTTAAGGAATTATTGAATTTATTACCAAATGGATTTAATGATTTAATTTTACATCATAAAGAAGATGAAATTATTCAGATTGAAGTCATCTTGAGAGTGATTTTAGACTTCACTACATCGAGACATATTCTCATTAAAGAAAGTATAGTCACCTTAACCCAAAAATTGGTTGAAATATATTCAAATGGTAATAATGCGGCTATTGATTACTGTTTCTTATTATTATCTACTATCTATTCTTTGTTTGAAAATAATTATTCTATACTCGATGAGATAAGTATCGGAGATATTAAGAATCAAACTGAGTCGTCGATATTTACCATTCTAACCAATAATAACGATAATAATTCTATCTTATTCGATAATCAAAATTTATCATTGTTATCGAATATTTTATATTTCCGTAATGTGAAATATCAAAAAAACCAGCACGAACTTGAATTAACTAGATACACAAAGATATTTGTTGAAGACCATAAAATTTTGGAAACTCCAAATCGTTTGGTTATACCATATGTGAAGATATTATCAGCTATTGATAAATCCTGTACCTTCTCAGACGCATCAGATATTATGGAAAAGACAGTGACTTTGATTCATAACAATAAAACTAACGATATGTCGAACTTAGAAAAAATCGGATACATGGAGTTGATAACTGTGATTACAAATAAATGGTTTAATGATGAGTTAGAAAATACAATTATTGAAAAATACGTTAATTGGGAGGATCAATCTACTATTAATTTAGAGATGATTGCATGGATTGGTAAAGGTTTAATAACGAAAAATTCTCCATGTTCAAATATAATACTATCTCATTTCTTAAGCTTATTAAACGACGAAAATATTGGTTTGATTGTGTCTAAACTCTTTGAATTGTTTGTAATGGATATTAATTCTATGGCGAAGCATAAAGGAATAACTTGGACTAATAATGTTAAATTGCTTTATAAACAAAAGTTTTTCAATGACGTCTTCCAAAGTCTTGTTACTTCCTATAATGAACCAAATCTATCCTTAGACATTAAATGTAACTATTTGACTGCGTTGTCTTTGATCTTGAAACATACACCTAACAAACTCGTCGAACAATTTATGAATGATTTACTACCAATGTTATTACAAGCTTTAGAAATGCCAAATTCGGAAGTTAGAATTTCTGCCTTAGACACGTTAAAAGATACCACTGAGAAATTTGGATTGCTAATAACAGAAAATATTGATACGTTATTACCAATTCTCTTAAAATTGGTTGTACCTGGTTCTAAATATAATGATGTCTCTGTTAGGTTGATGTCATTACAATTAATTGGTTTATTGGCAGACAGTGTACCATTAAACTATTTGAAACCCTACAAAGAACAGGTTATCAATGGTTTATTGTTAACTTTATCTGATAAAAAGAGAATTGTTCGTAAACAATGTATTGATACAAGGCAACTTTATTTCGAATTGGGTCAAGTTCCATTTGAATAATTTCCAAACCTTATTAAAATAAATAAAAATCATATAGATTGTATATACGTATATATATTACTAAATTGTCATTATAAATTATTTCGTTAGAAGAAGGAATTTATCTTCTTGAATGTACCCAATAATTTCATATTAAAGCTTATGTTTTTTTCTTACTTATTGTATGCTTTAGAAAATCTGTTGCGATTAAATGCAGAAATGATATTTTAAAATCGAAAGAAACATCTACCAATCATCATTTTCTTGTTCCTCTTCACTCGATGATTCTTCTTCATCGCTTAATCCAACAGGAGCAAGACCAAGAGTCAAACCAGCGTACCTATGATCAGATACATTATTACTTTCTTGTATGTCTTCCTTAAATTGTTTAACTTTCTGTCTTCTCTTATTACTTCTGGAATGATTTTTATTTGTTATTGTATTCTTTAAGATGTATTCCTGTAATTCAAGTGATTCTTCTTTTTCTTCATCATCTAAATCCCAGGATTTAGCATTCTTTATTGATTTCTTAGTTAATTTATCTAAATATTCTGCTTCCCTTTCAGTTAATTTTCCATCTAATTTATGTTTTTCAAGTACTTTTAATTTTGCATTTTTCTCTAATTTATTGTAATCAGCTTGACGTTGCTTTAAAGAATTTTTCTTCTGTAATTTTTCTTTTTTTTTAATTTTATAAATATCTCTTTGTTGTAATGCTATCATTTTTTTAAGATTATGATCAATCAATTGGGCTTTTGATCCTTTGACCTTTTTCTGTTTATTTATTTGATTTTTATTCTTATTTGGCTGAATTTCTTTCATACCTGGTAAAATTTTGGAGAGTATACCATTTACAGCAGAAGTAGCATGCAATTCAGTAACATTTGAGAACGATGACATGTTTTACCGTGAGTTGTATTAATATGTTCGTATTCTGCGAGACTATGACAATAAGTAGAATATCTACGGTATGTTCCAATGGTGTGTAATATTTATAAACAATATTCAAGATAAAGCAAAGTTTGTGTAGTTGTCATTAATAATTAAGAACAAATTGAAAAAAAAATTCAAATATCGATGAGTTCTTTCATTTTCTTTTTTGTTTTTTCATTTTTCGCTTTTTGGCCTTGCTAATTTCAGTAATGAAAATTTTTAAATAATACTGTTTTTTTTGTTTTTTTTGAGCTGTGTAAAATATATGATAGACCATAGTACGGCTGTAACATAATATCTGTATAATGATTTTACTAGAAGAAGATCAAAATTATGTTGATATGCTGTAGAGCACAAGAGTTGTGGGATATAACATGATACACTTGGTCAAAATGATCTAGAAGTAATTGAACAAAAGAATTACACACATGATATTGGTTTGAATAGATTTCTGTAAGGTAAATAACTTATTGTTAATTCCTTTGATCCATTAAGAGTTTTTCTAACCATTGCTTTGTGGTAATACTTCCGATCCTTTATACCGATGAATTTATAAAACTATATAGATATAAAAAAAACTCTAATTATTATTAGTTGTTTTCAATAGTCCAACTACACAGCTGGATGATTCAATTCGTATTCAAATTAGTCAATGAGATAATTGTATATGTATATATTTTTTTGTTTTCGGAGCTTATTCTGTATCATTCGGTATATACCGAAATGTGCGATATATTCCGGTGACCCCCAAGACCTCGCATACTGTATTTTTCAAACTTCCCTATACTAATTCAAGATTTAGTGGTAAGAACGTTTCGTGAATTATTAATATAATGATAAACAATGATTCATATTGATTCATATTGATTCATATTAATTCATCCTATAAGGGAATACCGATTAACTAAGTTTGCTTAAACTTCATAGTCCTTGGTATATGTGTATTAAACAAGTGGTGAAAGAGATGAGAGAAACTGTTGAATTTTTAAAACTACGATTTAACAAATACCATTTCCCCTCTCTCTAGTGATAACATATATGAATTCTTTCTACAGAAAAAGATAGCATATACGTTTAAATTTATAATTAGTTTAGTTTTCGTTAGGTGATTTCGGAGTTGTGATTGCAGTTATTTTTTTTCCATTTACACAGTTTAGATAATTCTTTATGAGTAGAAATAGTACTAGTAATAAGAATATATATGTAACTTTACAAGCAAAAGGAATAGCATAGCATTTTAAAACGATTCAGTTTCAAAAATATCTACATGATCTATTTTTCTTATATGATTGTTTAATATAGATGAGCAAAGATGTAGAATATATAGTATATTTGGATGGGGATATGTTGGGCGGCTCCGTTTGTGTGTATTTTTCATATTTACTTTGAATTACTTATTTTTATCGGAGCCGCACAGTCGGAAACAGTAATTGGTTTCTCGATGTGTGTGTGTGTATCCATCGGGAATTTTCGGGGACCGGGAAGTTATTTTCTTTCGTTCTCTTCTCTTGAAAAAGGAAAGTTGTAGGCAAAAACTGTTCTTCACGTCTATTTTTCCACGTAAAAAACTGAATACAAACCATTTTTGACAGGAAAGTGAACAGAATTGCTTATCTTTTGTTGATCGATGGGAGGGAAAACTAGTAAAATAGCCGTACAAATCCAACAAATAAGATAGAAGTCGGAATAAACCGCAGAATTTGTATGAAATATACTATATACACCTATTCTTTCTTTTTTTTTCAGTTGATTAGGCAAATATTTGTTAGTAGGATAGTGAGATCTACGTTATCTTTCATAATAATTTATAGAGAATCAGACAGGTTACACACAAGGTTAATGAATAATGGATACGAAATAAATAAAATAAAACACGCAATATTCCGTTCTGCCTTCTTCTCTTCTCCTGTTTTTCCCGATGAATCATTTTAAATTGAAGAAGGGCCCTATATCTTCTTCTTCAATTTTTACCTTTGCACTCTATTTCTCTCTTTAATTAATCTTCGAGAAAAGGTTTATGAAGTTGAGCTTTCTTTAATGTTTTTTTTTTTTAAACAATTGAAAAAATATTGCTTGTTTATTAGCTAGGTAGTACATATCGGTAATTTTGACTACGTAGTTATATACTTTTATCATGACTATTCCTTGAGTAAATGTATGTGTCTGTTTCGTATGTTTAGTTTAGTTTAGTTATCAAAACTTTCAAATAATCATATGTTTTAAATATATTTATTTATATATATATTCTTGATATTATAATATATTCTTGAAAAACGATTATTGTATCCATTAATTAAGTATTTTTTGTTCATTTATTTTGTAATAAATATTAACGTATAGAAAAGAAGCCAAAAGTAATAAAAAATTTGATGACAGATATATATAGTTTGCATACAGAAGAAGAAACAGGTTCTTCGATAGATGTATCCGATGCTAAAAATTATATTGAAAAAGATGAGAACGATGTTATATCGTTGGATCCAAAGGATTTAGCAAAAGTTTATTCTAAACAAAATGGTACTTTGTCTCGTATGACTACAAGAGAAATTCAAGAAAATGATTCAAGTGATAATTCAGATATAGAAAATTTTAAAGATAATAACGATAGTATTAGTACTAGTAGTGCGGCGCCTTATACTTTATTGAATTATAGTCAGAAATGGGTAATGGTAGCCATATTAACCATGTGTGGGTTTTGGTCTTCCTTAGCTTCACCAATTTATTATCCTGCTTTGAAACAATTAGAAAAAGAATTTAATTTGAATGAAGATAAAGTCAACGTTACTGTTGTCGTATATCTATTATTCCAAGGTATTGCTCCAACTTTTTCAGGTGGATTGGCAGACGTTTATGGTCGTAGACCAATTATATTGGGTGGTATGATCATATACGTTGTAGCATCAATTGGTTTAGCTAATGCTCCTTCTTATGGTGTTATTTGTTTCTTAAGAATTATTCAAAGTATTGGTATTTCTCCAACAATTGCTATTAGTTCGGGTGTTGTAGGTGATTATACTTTGAAACATGAAAGAGGTACTTTCGTAGGTGCAACCTCTGGATTTGTTCTGATTGGTCAAGGTATTGGTCCTCTATTAGGTGCTGTTATTGCCGCTAGATGGGATTGGAGAGCTATCTTTTACTTTTTGGCAATTGGTTGTGGTGTTTCATTTATTTGCGGTTTTATTTGTTTACCAGAAACAAAGAGAACTTTAGTTGGTAATCTTTCTATTAAACCAAAACATATTTGGAGTAAAGCTCCGATTACTCTTTTGCCCTCAGTACAAAAAAGATTAAAATACGATAATCCAGATTTGGAAACCTTAGATAAAAATATACCCTCATTAGATTTAATTGGTGCCCTTAAAATCACTGCACAACCTGAAATTATCTTGGCATTATTCCCAGCAGGTTTACAATTTGCCATGTGGACCCTAATGTTATCATCTATTTCATCCGGTTTAAGTGTAGCTCCATATAATTACAACTTACCAATCATTGGTGTATGTTATCTACCAGCTGGTATTGGTGGGTTATGTGGGTCTTTCTTAACAGGCAGAATCATTGATTATTATTACAAGAAAGCAGTTACCAAATTCGAACAAGATAAAGCGGATGGAACAATCTCACAGGATACCAAGTTCAATACTTTCAAAGTACGTCTACTCTGTGTTATACCCCAAAATTTCCTTGCTGTGATATCTTTCTTATTATTCGGTTGGAGTATCGATAAAGGTTGGAAAATTCCTGCTGCTTTGATTACATCATTTGTTAGTTCATATTGTGCAATGAGTACTCTATCTACAATGACTACTCTTTTGGTTGATTTATATCCTGGGAAATCGTCGACAGCTAGTAGTTGTTTCAATTTTGTTAGATGTTCATTGAGTTCGATTTTCATGGGTTGTTTCGCTGATATGAAACAATCAATGACAGTAGGAGGCACTTTCAGTTTCCTAATTGCTTTATTATTCTTAGCAAACGGTTTGACTTTCATTCCAATCATGTATGGGATGAAATGGAGGGACGAAAGAATATTGAAAGAAGAAATGAAAGCACAATTGAAAGCTGAAAAGGATCTTGAACGTCTGGATTAAAAAGAAAGTCAGGCGAAACAATAATAATAAAAATAAACTTCGTGCATGCATTTTATAATAATATTTATAACTACTAATATTTTATAGACAATTTTAATTTTAAACACATTTAATGAGAATAATGAGAAAATAGGATAACAATTCTTAATTACTCCTTAGGTTATAAATTTTGGTTAATACGGTACAACATGTTAATGACTTCGATTACTTTTGATTATAAATTAATACGTTTTATATTGGGCCAAATACCAATTTTTAGTTATGGAATTTTAGAAAACTTGGGATTCGTCCCTATTATTAGTAGTAAATGATTGTTCAATTTGCATGTGAAATATAATAGGAACTAGAATAGTGAGCAGATTGCTCACAAGCTCAATATCATTTTTATTTTTTGTTTACATTTCATTAAATAATAAAACTAATTAATTTTTTTAACTTTACTTTTTAACCAACATACAACAAAACATAAAATTTTGAAACGTAAACAAAAAATATTAATCTCTTTGCAATTAACTAGAGATCTTTTCCATCCAAATCGCAATTAATTTTGACATATACCTATGCATGTGTTTACCATTATACATATATAAAAATACATATTATTATATTAAGAAAAATTCTAATCTTTTATTTCTTGAATGTTACACTATTGTAACGATTAAATTATGTTGAATAGATATAGTGACTGACCTTTGAAAAAAATTATGCAAAAAGAAGTTGGGAATAAAAGAAAATTACAACCTAATGAGAAAAGAGATAAAACATGAACGTTTAAAGTTTTCAAAATGAAAAGAAAGGATATTTACTGAATAGAAAAAAAAAATAGTCGAAAAGATATCTTCCTATCAATTTTGCATCTATTGAGAAGCACATTGGACACCTTCAGCTTGTTGTTGTTCTTCATCATCAGAATCGTAATTTTGACCACCTCTACCAGAACGGTTGTTAGCGTATTTAGATGGATCAAATTCAGATAAAACACAATCATCAACAACAGCATCCTTTGGAATAGTTGGCAATGGGTTTCTAGCTGGTAAGATTTCTTCTAATTTCTTTAAGTTTTCTTCACTTGTGAAGTGGTTTTCTGGGAACTTAATAGTGAAATTAATAATCAAATTACCGTAACCACCATATTTTGGAATTGGCATACCTTTACCGTCAATAATTTTACGCATGTTTGGAGCAATAACCTCACCTGGAACAATGGCAACCTTTAACCAATCACCAGAAACATGTTCTAGAGCAAATTCACCACCAGCAATTGCAGTCAAAAGATCAATGTTGGCTTCGAAGATCAAATCATCACCACTTCTCTTAAAGTTCTTATGTGGTTTTTCATTGATAACAAAGACAACATCACCTGGAATAATATCTGGAGCTTGATCAGCTTCACCTTTGAAAACAACCTTTTGACCATCTCTCATACCTGGTTCAATTTGAACTTGTAGAATCTTTCTTTCATTAGCAATCTTCTTACCGTTACAAGTCTTACAACGTCCCTTTGGATCGATAATATCACCAGTACCTTGACAAACATCACATTCAGCTTGGAATCTTTGAATCATTGGACCCATTTGTCTAGTGACAAACTTAACACCTTGACCGTTACAACTAGTACATTTCTTCACAGCACCCTTTTCACCACCTCTACCTTCACAAGTCTTACATAAAATTTGTTTGTTCAAAGCTAATTTAGAGGTTTTACCTTTGTATAATTCTTCCAATGTAACAGAAATTTCATGTTTAATATCTCTACCTCTTTGAGGACCTCTTGGTCTGCCGGAGCCACCTGCACCTCCGAAGAATTGAGAAAAGATATCATCACCGAAACCACCACCGAAACCGCCGAAACCACCTGCACCAGCACCACCGTTACTTAGACCTTCTTGGCCAAATTGATCATATAGTGATCTCTTTTCAGAGTCTGAAAGGACTTCGTATGCTGTTGTAGCTGCTTTAAATTTTTCAGAGGCTTCTTCACTTGGATTTTTATCAGGATGATATTTCAAAGCAGTCTTTCTATAAGCTTTCTTGATTTCAACATCAGTAGCAGTGACAGAAACGTCTAGGATATCGTAAAATTTAGTTTCTTTGACCATTTTTGTACGTTTATTTGTATTATTAAAGAACGAATTCAGTTTGATTTAAAAGTCTATAATGAAAAGAAGGAAGAAGAATAAAATAAAATAAAATAAATTTCAGTTATATCTCGTTGGAATGTATATCTGAAAATAAAAATCTATAAGGTTAGTTATTATCAAACTGTCGCTTTAAATATATATATATGTAATATAAATATATTAAAATTTTGCCACCTTACGAATCAATGGAGTTTATGAAGTATTAATCATTCTTTTTAAAAATTTATTATATATTCTATGATGTCTAAACCTGTGCCATCATCCATCCATCGATAACCTACATCGCCCAAAACGAAACAGAAAATTTCATAGAATTTCAAAGAATTTCAAAGAATTTTTTTTGGGAAAATTTTCAAATTTTTGTGCCGTTTCTTTTTTTTTCGTGGGAAGTGAGCAGATAACCCTAATGTGGTAAACCTAGGGTTATGATTGTAATATTAGGGTTTATTTGTTGAAGAGAGATGGAAACAATTTGGCTATATTTATTTATTTGGGTGAGGGTTTTAAGGGCCTATCGAAGATTAGTTTCTCCAAGGATTTAAATTCTTAGTTTGTTTCTTGTGGAAGGAAACAAGTTAGTTTCATTTGTATTATAAAATATTCTTCCGGTTTATCAAACTCTTTATGAGCCCTCGGTTACATCCCTCTTTGCTTCGAGAAGCCCGTTCAATTCATAAATGCTTGCCGTTATTATTACCAGAATGCAGAACAATTCAACAAGCTAAACAAGAATTAAAATGGCTTATAGATGGATTTGGTAGTAGTAGCAACAAACTGCAAAGAGCTTGCATAAAACGGTATAGACATGTGCCATTACAATATATTTTAGGTTCTCAACCGTTTGGCTCATTAGATATACAATGTAAGAAACATGTACTGATACCAAGATGGGAAACTGAAGAATGGTCCTTAAATTTATCTAATTCCTTAAAAAAATCAATGAACTCAATGAACTCGATGAAATTGAATAACGATTGGAATATCGTAGATTTATGTTCTGGTACCGGATGTATTCCTTTATTAGTAATTAAGGAAACTAAAAAATTATTCGTAATGAATTCATTGAAGGTTAATGCAATAGATTGTTCACCATTTGCTATTAATTTAACAAATTTAAATTTTAAAAGAAATTTTAATAATGGATTAAATTTAAAAAATTGTAATATTTCCTTTAATACTCATAAATTAAATATATTAAATGAAGTTAAAGTAAAAAAATTTATATCTGGGGATCTTATGAATCGAAAGATTAATATTTTGACATGTAATCCACCATATATCCCTCCATTAGAATTTATCAATGATGTTAGATCATCTGTAAGAATGTATGAACCCAAACTCGCATTATTAGGAAATTTAGAATTTTATAAAAATTTATGCTTTACATGGATAAAACTTGATTTAATTGAATCATTTGTTTATGAAATAGGGGAACTGAGCCAAGCTTCATATGTACAACAAAATGTGCCTCATACGTGGGTTACTGGTGTCACCTATGACTCTAACAATAAACCTAGATGCATTTTTGGCTATAATAAAACAACTTCCACTAACTATTCTACCATCTTCAATAACTTTCTCGATGAATCATATCACCCACAATGAAAAAAAATAAAATAAAGATATTTATCAATATTCTTACCCAAATATCATACCATGCAAAAAAAAATAAAACTAATCTTATAAATATTATGTACTTTTTATTATACAATCATGCATGTTACCGAGATCATTCCCTAACATAATATCTTTATTGCTTCTCTATTTGGACACCTTCTGTCTCTGTTGCTTTAGGTTCTACCGATATCATTTCAGGTTCTGGAGCAGGAATAACTTTGTGACACCACATCAAATACCCACCGCCACCTTTCATAGTCATTAAAGGATGTAATCTTCCTCTTATTGATTGATATGGTCTACATTTTGTTTCAATGATTGTAGGAGCCAAGTAATTCAGGTCATCATACAGAGTATGGGAAAGTTCAAGTAGAATTTCCTTGAACTGACTATAACAGACAATAGGTCTTGAACCATGTACCCTTTCCCCTAACTTAGGAAGCAATGATGGCAAATGTAATGTTGTAGCGACTACAAGACTATCAAAGCTCCATTTTGTTGCAATATCAATTTGTTGTAAATGAATCTTGTGCCATTTTAATTTCCTAAAATATGTATTTTTTGCACCACTTTTCAATGCGAACACTTCTTCTCTACCTAATGGCTTGAATTCTTGTTCGACTTCTTCTACTGTTCTTGGTTCAAAATAATCCAGAATGGATATAGTGATAATATGTTCTGATATAAATTTTTCAGAATAATTAGAATATTTTAATAGGTCTAGATTTGGATGCTCATTTTCATGAACAACAACAATCTTACCGGTACTACCTGTATTTTCATCTCCACCAAACATCCTCTCTAGCATAAAGTATATTAACAAACCCCCAGTTTCATCCATGCATAAATATGTACCGTTAGATCTTATATTTGCAAGATTCAACAACATACCGATTGATTCTTCAGACATGTCCATAATTCTTTGGATGTCGTTTTTATCTATTAAATATTGTAATAACAAATTGCTACTCAAGTAATTAACGGTAAATTGTTTGTCAAATTTTTGTTTCTTTCTCTTTAAATATTTTTCTTGGGAATAAATCGTCTTCTTATCAAATGTACCATGAGATTCAATGATTCTGGAAATAATTTCATTACCTGAGGTAGATTGTTTCTTCAAGGCTTCAATATCATCTGATGTCATCTTTTGGATGTCACTGCCCAAATTTATTAAGTCCTTATTATTTTCGCTATTACCAACATTGGTTAATCCTTCATCTCTCTTAATAAGATCATCAGAAACTCTAATCTTCCCGACATTAATTTTACTCTCTTTTTTCTTTGGATCTTTAGTTTTCTTGTCATGATCTACAGTTTCTTGAGTTTCATTATCATAAAAAATCTCAAATTTAGTACCCAGCGGATATCCTATAATATCATTCACATTAAATGCCCCGAATTTACCTAAAGACACTGCTGTATTAGCTTTTAATTCAACAATCTTACATTTTTCAGACGGTAACGTAAGTATAACATGTTGATCACACGTTATTCTCCTTAGCGGATCTATTCCTTGTGTGGTCATCTTAGTTGGAAAAATCTTAGTGAGTGACACACTTTGCTGCTCAATTGCAAAATAATAAATAACAAAGTTCCCTCGTCTCTTGATATATATATCAAACTAGTTGCAATTCCTTCTAATAGCATCTATAAGTTTATTACCAGTATAAAACTTTTTTCCCTCATTAGATTTTTCGATGAGCTAACGGAGGAACCGTCATGTTTCACGGCCGAAAATTTTTCATCTCATCGCCTTTTTTCCTTTTCTTTCTACCGATGCCATCTACAATATATATAATGTCTATAAAAAGAGTTACTAATAAATGACTGTTAAAGAGTAAAATATTGGTTATACCATCAGAAAGTGACAACATTGAACGTTAATATTGTATCAACAGGTTAAATAATGGGTAGTAGACGTCATAAGAATAAGCAGGCCGCTCCACCAAGTTTTGACGAGTTTCAAGCTAAACAGGATAGAAAAGCAAAGAGAATCGAGGAAAGAACAAAGAGATCCAGCAATGATGTAACTGATAAGAAATCCAGTAAGAAACAAAAGACTGCTACTGATGACCACGAAAAACAACATGATCACCACAAAGAAGATAGTGAAAATAAACACAGTAAGCATAAACATGAAAAATCTCATTCATCGAAGAAACATAAGAAACACCATAATGACGACGAGGAAGAAGAAAATCACGAATTCCCAGCTGATCTGCCAGAAGTTGATTTAGAAGAACTATCCAAAGCAAAGAAATCCTTGTTCGACGATGAGGAAGAAGTCGATGAGGATCTACAAGGTGAATTTGATATGGAACAAGAATATGAAAACGATGAAGATGACAATGTTCAAGTCAAATCCATGTTTTCAGATGATGAAGACTTTGGTGAAGACGAACTGGAAGATTTGAATGCTGCCAATATGGAATCTCTGTCTCAAAAGCTTGATGAAGAAGAAGCTGAAGAAGCTGAGCAAGCCGAGCAGGAATTGGTTCAAGCCAATCAAACTCAACCAAGGGCTGATGTTCTACCTTCTAAGGAAGAAGAAGAAATGATGGGTAGTGGTCCACAAGACCTAACTTCTGTTAGAACCAGAATTATTGAAATTGTTAAAGTTCTTGAAGATTTCAAAACATTGGGTGCCGAAGGTAGGTCAAGAACTGAATATGTCGATAGACTTCTAAAGGATATCTGTGAATACTTTGGTTACACTCCATTCCTTGCCGAGAAATTATTCAACCTATTCTCTCCATCTGAAGCTCTTGAATTCTTTGAGGCCAATGAAATTGCTAGACCTATTACTATTAGAACAAACACCTTGAAAACAAGAAGAAGAGATTTAGCTCAATCTTTAGTTAACAGAGGTGTTAACCTTCAACCAATTGGTAACTGGACCAAGGTTGGTTTGCAAATCTTTGACTCCCAAGTTCCAATCGGTGCAACCCCCGAATACTTGGCTGGTCAGTATATTCTACAGGCTGCATCTTCTTTCTTACCTGTTATCGCTCTAGACCCCCACGAAAATGAACGTATTTTGGATATGGCAGCTGCTCCAGGTGGTAAAACTACATATATTTCTGCTCTAATGAAAAACACTGGTTGTGTTTTTGCTAATGATGCAAACAAAAACAGAACAAAATCTCTTATTGCTAACATTCATCGTTTAGGTTGCACTAACACTATTGTTTGTAACTATGATGCCCGTGAATTCCCAAAGGTTATCGGTGGTTTTGATAGAATTCTGTTAGATGCTCCTTGTTCCGGTACTGGTGTTATCGGTAAGGATCAATCCGTTAAAGTTTCTCGTACTGAAAAGGATTTTATTCAAATTCCACATTTACAAAAACAATTATTATTGTCTGCTATTGATTCGGTGGATTGTAACTCAAAGCACGGTGGTGTTATTGTGTACTCTACATGTTCTGTTGCAGTGGAAGAAGATGAAGCTGTCGTCAACTATGCATTAAGAAAGAGACCAAACGTCAAACTAGTTGAAACTGGTCTTGTTATTGGTAAGGAAGGTTTTACAAGCTTTAGAGGTAAGAATTTCCACCCAAGTGTGAAACTAACCAGAAGATACTACCCACATACTTACAATGTTGATGGTTTCTTCGTTGCCAAATTCCAAAAAACAGGTCCATCTCCACATGACGATAACCAAGCTAGTGCAAAGGAGAAGGAAGCTCTTGCTAGAGAAGAAGCTATGGAGGAAGGTATTATTCATGAAGATTTCGCCAACTTCGATAATAAAGAAGATGAAAAGTACATAAATAAATCCAAGAAGAACAGTCTATTAAAGAAAGGTATCAACCCAAAGAGTAGCGGTGCACCAAAGAAATAATAGCATTTCATTCATAATAATATTTTAAAATTCTATGCTACGGCACCTTTTGTACATTATTCTATTCATAATATATACGCATATATGTTCAATCATTTTATATTAAATAACAGTAGCATATCAGTTTCTAATAAGTATTTACAACTTCAGACAATTTTTTAACTCAAAACTCTGGAAGTGATCAAATCTGACATAGTTTTTTCCATACTTAGTGGGACATACGATTAGAAATAACTAATATTTCCTAATTGGTGTTCCTTTATATAATCTGCACCGAATTCATCATACTCTTTCTTAGTGATCGAGGTTTTATCAAATAGTTCCTTATTATTCCCGACCTTTACCATACCATTCCATGCATCTAAAGTTGGGTTGGAGCTTTGATGCACTGATATAGGCGTATTGACAGGTAAAAATTGAGTAAATTCTTTTACAATTCTTTCTCTTGTTCCAGGTATTCTTGAGTTACCCCCTGTTAACCATGTATTATTAACCATATTCAATGCACTTTGACTCAGTCTACTAGGTTTTGAATCAAACTTTCTTAATAATATCGTTTCGCATAATTCTGCTATTCCTGCTTGATCCAATCCACCTATGGAAGGTTGGAAAAGAATTTCAGGGACTCTAATTCTTTCTATATTCATATGCATTTGGTGTTGTTCATGTACATCCTCACCATCATGTGGGGCTGGTCCTCTAAGGAAGAGATGTAAGACCGAATTTCTCCAATCGTATTGTGCATCTAACGTATCCTCTTCTGTAAAGTTTGGATCAAACTCCAGAAGCTGACTCTCCAACTCAAGGATTTCACGATAATCCTCCTCAATCAGTTCGTCCAATGCTTCAGGATTTTGGGTAACATCATTATAAACAGACCAATCATCATCGTTAGCACCAAATGTATCATTTGGATCATTATCGATAGTGGCTTGTTGCCTGCTTCTCTTCGATCCCGATTGTGGCGTATCCTCTGCTAAATTCGCTAAATTCTTCATTCTTTTCTGAGAAGCTTGTGATTTACGATCTTTCATATCTTCTTTCAATTTAACTTTATCTTTTCTCTTTTTAACCACTACCGCTAGCTTTCCTCTCTTGTCTTTAATCCAACCACCCAGGTTTGTTTGTCTCCACTCCTCTTCTCTCTTTTTAGATTCTTCTTCCTCTTTTTGACGTCTCAATTTTTCTTCTTTGGCTTTTTGTCTAGCATCAAAACTTGCCTTTAAAAATCTTTGCTTCCTCTTCTCTTTTATTTGTTCCTCATTTAAGTCAGCGTCTGGAATATCAACTAGATCAAATTTGTGTTCTTCTTCTTCAGTATTATCATCTGCCCCGTCAGTCTCAATAGCTTGTGCCTTTTTTAAGGACTTTTCTAGGTTATACATATACTTTTTAAAATCACGTTCATCATCAAATCCTGCATTTTGTAAAATCGAGAGAGCTGCCTTCTTAGATTGATTGACCAGTTGTTCTCTTACCTTTGAAAAATACTCATATTCCTCAGTCTTTTGGATCAACTTTTCTATTCTCTTCTGCTTAGCTTGCTCCTGTAATCTTTTACCGGTTTCTTTTCTCTTCTCTGCTTGTATTCTCAATTCTTCTTCAGTCTTCTGAGGTTGCAAAATCTCAGTAAATGGAGCTTCAATAACTATATTTTTATCAGATAAATTATCTAATGTCAAATAATGATCGATATCTTTATTATAATCCTGAGAGGTGTAACAATAATTCTCGTACATCTTCCTATATTGATAACCGGACAACTTAGTTGGGAAATATGGGTACTTCAAAGTCATTACGTCCGAAAGGAAGTCTATCGCTTGCGATCCACCACAATCAATTCTCTTAGATTCAGTCAAAATTGCCTTCCCATTAACAATTGGTATGACGTTAGTATCTTGATTACCACAATCAATTACAATACCGTCTTTATCAAGCTCATTATTTGCATAATAAGCGAACAGACTATCAATACCAAACGTAACCTTCGACATATTAAACGATTCAAACAATATTTGATACCAATTGTTTCTTTGAGATGCAAGACATCCCAATCTTTCATTAATTAGAAGTGGGTTTCTTACTCCATTATCAGATACTACACCCAGATGGTTAAATGTATACTCCATAATATCTTCAACATAATCCCAGTTGGTTATCAAAGAACCGTCAAAAGGAGATTTCGCCTGAGAACAAACTGTCTGGTCTAACAAAGTATCATTACCAATATAAGTAAAAGTATGTGCTAACTTACGATCCCGATACCTAGTCAGTTCATTGATAAATACATGCGAGGGACTGGCTTGATTCACATATCCAGCTCTAACATTAAATGAACCAAAGTCAATGGCAATTGGTGTTTCTGGGTTGTAGTTATTGGTACTGTCAAATGGTTCACATTCTTCTCTCAGAGGTTGGTCTTCTAATACTGTGACATTCAATGGTGTAACAGAACCATCTCTAGACATTGTTTCTATTATGGTCAATATAGTACTATATGTTATTATGAATTATCGTCCTAGCCTTCACAATTTATAATTTGATTTACTTAATCTGAAGATCGATAATATATCTTACTAACTCTTCAACAACTTGCGATTTTATATATATACAATCATTTAAGTTCGCACATGATATTAGAAGATATATACTATTTTGTTTTTTCTGTCTACGTTTCTCTTTTGCTAATGCTCTGACCGCTTTGTTTTAGAGCAAAACTTCATTAAAAATCAACAAATATTTAGTTTTTATTGCACTAGACTACAAACAACCTATTACATACTCTATCTGAGGTGGTAGACCTAACAACTATTGCAATTATTTCCACTTGATAAATATGAAGATTATATAATAGAAAGGACAGGAAAGAACGAATAATTATCTAGATTATTTGACTTTACTGATGTGAAGGGTATTCCACCAGAATGACACATTGCATGCCAGAAACAAGTGAGCATAAACATCAACATAGAAATAGTGAAGCAGGTAATAACGAGAGTATTCTATACTTATTTAATCCCTTTTAATAAGCACTCTATTCAGTGAGATATCTGCATTTACACATACCAATTTGAGATTACTTACATCAAAACGACAAAGAGGGCAAATTAAATGAAGTAGATGACACGGACAAAACCTGTCAATTGAACCATGTGCCATTAATCTTCCGCAAGATGCATGCCATTTATTTTGAGCAGTATATTCTAACCAAGATGAAATGCAATTTTTATGAAAGCGATGTTCGCAAGGTGTCTCCACAATAATATGAGGAAGTTCTAATTCTTCAGAACCTGTCGCTTCGTTAATGACCTCTGAATCTGTTAAATTAGACGAATCTGATTCTTCAAAACTCTTGTCCTCATCAGGAATCTTTGAGTGTCCTGAACTAAACGAAGCTGATTCCTCTGAACCCAACTCCACAATATTTACTTTTGAGTCATCTTTTTTAAAAGATTCAAAGCAAAAACCACACCTGTCGTCATCTTCGAAAATACATTCCACATCAGTTAATACTCTGAGTTCATCCACAGTAACGTGTGATGTTTCAGTCCCTTCAATAGGCAAACCATATTTTTCGATTTTATTTGTTGACAGTACAAAACCATGAAATCCATCACGTTTACCACCTATTTCGACTATATTTGATTTATATGAATAAGTAAAAACCTTATTCTCTTCTTTTGGGCAGTCATTCTTTCCCTTTCTGTGGTATTTTCTTCCAATTAAACGTCTCTTAATGCACGATAGGTAATTCTTGAAAAAATCACGCTTCATATTGGTGTATATTATTATACTTTGGTAAACTAATATCTATGAGATAGTATCAACTAATCTCATAGATTACTTAATATACAAAGGAAATACAATAAGACGAAAACTGTTACATAATAAGAAAAGATCAATTATATACCATACCAATATAAACGATTTCGGTTAAAAGTTTCGTTTACCCCAATTGAGTTACCTCTTAATAATTACTTTCAGTTGCATGTTTTGTTTTATCAGAGGCTTATCTATAACACCTCACTCACAATATCCTAACGATTGCTCAAAACGAATTTTTTTTGTTATGTATCTTATTACATTATAATGGATAAGATTAAACTAAAATGGGTAAAATTACATCACTCCAATATTTCACTAGTCTTTTGACTAATATTATCAAAATATACCCAATTAAGAGAGATAAGAAAATAAAAGGGGAGATTTAATGAATATGGCCGATCTTAAAATTTCATCAGAGTGGGGCAAAAATCGTTCTGCTAAAGAGGGGATTGAAAATAGACTAACCATCTTTTGCACATATTATCATTTATGTAATTATTCAAAAAGAAGGAGCATCAGGTGGGAACAGATTTTATAATTATATAAATTATATATTATCAGTGAGCATATCCTCTAAATACATGGATGGTGTTTTCTTATGTCTTTGACTTGCATTTTTTGTTGGACTTGGGGGCGTACTACTTGTCAGGGTTAATCCCATGGAGGATTTATTTCTTGTGTGATAATGAATATCTTCGCTAATTTTTTTCTTTCTTTCTGGTGAAGCAGCTCTCGTAGGTTTATCAATATTACCTTCCAAGAAGGTAGAATCGACAGATAATGTAGAAAAATCCCCCTCATTCATTGTATTATCAAGGTTACCAAATCTAGAATTTCTTCTTTTATACTGTGTTTGTTTTTGGCTTACTTCTAATGTTGGAGATATAAATAATGAACTCCTATTATTGTAACCGAATGCATCATCCTGAATAACATTAAATACTTGTTGTTCAGGTTCCCAATAGCCGACAGATATATCATCATCAATAAATGGTTCTCTCGTGTTACTACGAGTCAAATTAAACAAAGATGTTTTGCCAGAGATACGTCCATTAGTTGAAATTTTTTCGTCTTCTTGTTCGAAGTTACTACTATTATTATCAGAATAACTACTTGCCGTAATTTGAGTCATTAAAGAGTTTTGAGGTCTATGACCAAAACTAGCATTATTATAATTGTTATTGGAATTATAAATATTCCTTCCGTTATTACCTGTCAATTGACCATTATACTTGGTGTTTTGATGTGATATATATGTTGAAATAGCCCACCATACAAATATAGCCAAAAATATACCACCAACACATGCACCAACCGCTATGAACACCGTTCCACGAGGTGGTAGATCAATCATTTGTGCAATATGTGGATTTCCATAAGGGGAAGGTGGTGTAATGGTAGGTGTCACGGTAGCAGTTGATGATGATATGAAGGAACTCGAGTCTAACAATGATATGGAGTTGGAGAGCAAATTAGTCAATGTCTTTTGTGATTCAATTATGGAAGACCTTACAGTCGTAGAACTTGCTGTTATGTGTGTAGCGATGCTAGATGATAATGATGGTGATGACGATGTTGTGGTAACCAGCTTTGGTAAACCTCTTTTACCAATGTTGCTACTAGTGTAATAAACCATATTGTTTTACCGTATAGTTGTATTCTTGATACCGTTTCTTGGTTTAAGTCGTACGTAAATTTATCTGTTTCTTTTTATAATAAATAGTTGAATTATTGTAGAAATATCAAAGTGATTATGTCAACAAACCAAAATATAATAAATTATATAGAAAATGTTATTGGTTACAGTTTAAGGATAGTTTAAATATATTGTATTAAAATAAGAAAATGCGAAAGCATGCGTGTGACCTCAAAGAACCGTGACCTCGTCACTAAGCTACGATCTGTGAAAGTTCAAAAATAGCAATACAACAAGACAATACAGGATGGCAACGTTCCCCCCCCC